AATCTCACACCATCATTACAAATCTCATAAACGAAGCATCTACTGCTGAGTGGCATAAGGATTTACCTAATTTGTAAATTCACTTGATCTGATATAAGCTGAGCAGCTAAAATAAAGCATAGATGACCAAAAAGTGGCTGTTATGGCTTCAAACATAAATAAATAAATAAACAAGTGAAGCTGGATAATATTAGTTCAGCAGTTTACTCTTTATACCTTCTTAATGCAATTTTGTTAATAGACCTGCTTTTATGCAACATTGCAGCTACGGTGCAATCAATTCCTTTGCCTTTTACCTCCAACACTCTCAAAGATCTTAAACAAAATAAAGTTCATAAGATAGTAACTATATTAAAAGTACTAGCTAAGGGGAAAGCCTGTAATATGGAACTTTCTGTGGATGAACTAAAGCGTTGCTATCATGTAAAAACAGAACCCACTCAGGCTAATCCATTATAGAGTTACTGAATGATGTCAACATTACATTTACTGTAAATTAGATACATTTTCTATGATGAATGCTAAATCCATAAGCTAGGTATTTACTCACTAATGTTCATTATAAGATGAAGTCTATATGAATCAAGTGTGTCATAACTGCTAATAATACATTTTTAATATTTTTGTTATTAATGATTCAAAGTAGGACAAATACTCTTGACTTAATACACCACATTTCTACATTTTATGGGGAACACACCCTGTTGAATGGAAACTTGGTGTCAATAAGTGAGCATGCCTTTCAACGTAATGCTAGCAGATACACTCGAATACGCTCCTGATGCTGAAGTGATGGACAGCTTTGTTTTTTGCTGGTCTGGGCTGATAACGTGTAATTAACATAATCTGTCTCTATAATGCCAACACGCAATTTATTTACTCATATCTGTGATTACTTGTTCATCCGCTTGCAAAAGCTCACACAGTTTTGAATGAATACGGCATCATAAAGGCCAAGGAATGCTGCTTTACTCAGAGTTGTAGTATTTATGCAAACAATTTTAAGTGAACTTTACATTTAGCCAACCTTAAAGAGCAAGTCACCCCCTACTAGATTCTTACTCCACTCCCTCTTCATGCTTGAAAAATGCAACAAATTATGTTGCCTAGCAGACCGAGAGGGCAGAGCCATAAACAAACACACACACATGGTGTGTCTGAATCCAGGGGCAGGATGCTTGTGAGGAAGTATTTTGAGGTCGATTACATCACAGCACAGAAAGTGCGTGTGTGTGTGTGTGTGTGTGTGTGTGTGTGTGTGTGTGTGTGTGTGTGTGGTGAATTAAACTTGTCATTTGTTTTAGGGACAACAGAGCATTTTTATTAAGCTTAGAGGTGAAGAGTGAAGTTGTTTACTCATGACTTCAATAGTTTATCGTGTGTTCTGCAGTGAAAAGTATTGTTACATTCAGGGATTTACACAATTGACACGTTTTTAAACAACAATCAAAAATAGTTTGTGTGAAGAAAATACATTTTATTTTTTATCTTTTTATTGCCTTTTTGCCACTTATGACCTCTGATTTTCTCTTTTTAGGACTGCAGGTGTCCAAGGTCAGGAGAGGCTTTACCTAGTGGTCCTCCTGGGAGAGAGGCCTTCTACTGTTAAGTTAATGTTATTTAGTTGTTTGATATTTGAACACATTTATTAAAAGAAATACTGACTGATAACTCATTTGATCATTCCTTTTATCACCAGTTTTATTATTACAGATGTTTTTGAACATGTTACATGAACAGAAAATGAAAATATGGTAAGGAGACAAGATTATTGGACCAGTTATGTACAGTTAAAGCAGGATTAACCTGAGTGACTCTTGCTGGATCATTTATTTGAACTGAGTGAGTACGAAGTCTTTAACAATGCAGCTGGATCTGCTGCAGGAGGATCCAGGTGTGGATGGAGGGCTGGAACAGACCCGTGGCTGGACGTTTCTGGTCAGAGGAACATCAAACAGGACGGTCTGCAGAAAGAGCTTTGGGACGCTTCCTCTCACTGTCCACTCCATCGTCCATCTACAGGGACTGCTGGGCTGGCTCAGACGACGGCTGTTGCATCTCTAAGATGTATTCAGAAATATGAAATGTGGAGATGGTTCATGGATCCACTGGTATAACAATTGTGACTCTTCAGCAAATAAAACCACAGTGTTGTTTTTAATAGAGGTTCCTACATAAATGACTTGCCTGTTAACAGTAGTGGTGGTTTACTGGTACCTTCTCCAGGACAGAGCACCGCTGACCTCCTCCACACACGTCTTCCTCAGGCTCATTCTCCAGACCCACAGCTTCACCAGCACAGATGCAGATGTGCAGAATAGTGCATGCTGACCTGTAAAAAGGGTTTTTAAATTGAAAAATATAAAATAAAACATAACCTACAGTACACTGGTTCTGTTCTGTTTAAAGAAAAGCAGCAGGGAATAGTTAAATAAAAACTACAGAGAATTCACATTTTTAAGACAGATCTAATCATTATTAAGATAAGATAAGTCTTGATAAGAACAACTTTATTTATCCCGAGGGAAATTGTTGTGTCATGTACATGCTCAAAGCAGTAGGAGAGACAGATGAACAGGTGAAACAGATATGAGATATATGATATATACAGTAAAAATAGTGTACAGTAGTATACAATAGGATAGTGCAAGAGAAATACTCAGATAACTCAACAAAAAAAAAATACATGACTGTATTAGGCTTAAGTTGAATAAACAAATGCACATTGAAAACACTTCAATGCTATTTCATGAAAAAACCTGTTTTTAAAACATTTTACCCTCATTTGATGCAAAAGTAGTAAGTAGTTCTAAGGTCCAATTCACATTAGAAAACATCCTACTGCATTCAACATTTATAATGCATTTGGTTTCTATTAATTACCCACATATTAATACTCTGTAGTAATGTGTTGTGTACATTTAACCAGTTCAGTCTGTAGCTTTAAACATAAATGAAACTATCTAAAGTTAACATGTAAGTCCTGACAGCTTCTAGAATAAACTAAATGACTTTACCTGAAAACGGTTGTGAACAAACACTGGTGATGGAGGTAAGCTGCTGTAGCTCCTTAAAGATTCCATCTCAATTTTCGCCAGCTTTAGCATTTTTCCTTTGCGTGTAGCTGCCGCCACGGCTGTGACGGGACCTACGGGCTACCGTAGAGGTGAAGGCTAGACTGTCCGAATTCAGAGCTTTTGGGTTCTGGTCTTAGCGGTCGAAGGACCCGGCCTTGCTAGACAGGTGAGGACCCGTCCTCACAAGCATCCTGCCCCTGGATTTGGACACACCCACAGACTCACAAAGACATTGTGACATCATAATGTACCAGCTAATGCCATAGTGTACCTCTTGGCCAATAGCAATGGCAGATTTAAATTCAAATGCAGTGCAGAGTTTTTACCTGAAGAGGGCGCAACACTGACAATGTTAGGCAGAATATTTAAATTTTAACTTCGATGCACTAAAGTGCCAAATTATTGATGACACTTGTCTACAGCATGATTAGACACTTTTACCGTACATAGATCATCAGGAAAAAGAAATGCTGATTTGGGGGTGACTTGCTCTTTAAATGTTTTTATTGGTTAGGGTTAGAGTTAGGTTGGGGTTTTGACCTCACCGTGGGGCATTAAACACCAGGTAACGGGGTCATGAACAGTTCTACAGAAAACAACTTTACTTTTAAAAAGCCTGTCAATGGCAGAACAGCTACTAACAGCAAAAAACTGACGTCAATAAATAATATAAAGTAATATAGCCAAATGATGGACCAGGCTCAGGTAAACGATTTATTAGCTATGCTAAAATAATTAATTGGAAACCTGCAGGTAACCCTTTCATGCATGAATTATGAAATCTTAAACCAGGATTTTTCAAACAACTTTTTCATTAATCTTTAGGTATGAGTGAAACAAATTTAGACGAAAACGTTTAATTTACTAGTTAATTAACTCGGTGGACAGCATATATTCTGAACATAAAATATGTTGGCTTGACTCACTAGAGTCCAAAGGGAGGGCTCAAAAGCAACAGAATCTTCAACAGCTGTGCTTAATAGCAAAAATAAACCCAAACTATTTTGAGTAGCTGTCCACTGTAGTGGCCATTATGCATTAAAAGGGTTAAGTCCCGCCTCCTCCGTGCATACAGTCAGAAAAGTTACATATTTAAAAACTGATATGATTGAAATAATCATTTTTTTAAGTGTTGAGTTTGTTTGATTTACATAGCTTTTGTGTTTGTGCTACATGTTCAAATGTTTGTATTGTGTGTTATTTGTGATTAGCTATAAGAGTCAAAAGCTGAAAGTTTTAAACCAATGGTCTAATTTGTTCCATATAAAAGTGCTTTCCAAATGCATGAACATGAATAAATGTTTTCATTACAGTTTAATATCAAAATTTACAAGTAATTTCTAGAGACCAACAGTTTATGCAGAGGAAACGAGCTGCTGCACACTTAAAATGTTCAGAAAATGTGTCTGAAAATGATCAAATGAGCTGTGGAAGTCAGCATTGGCATGCTCCACTGGCTCATGCTGCATTGCATTATGGTCTATTTTAACTGCTGCAGCATACGACATTTGCTCATTGTAGTTTTCAAGGTCTGGATAAAGATTACGTAGGTTAGTGCACTAGATAGTGAACATTTCAAACACACTCCGCCGTTACCGTGTTCATGCTCTTTATCCCTAACAAGCAGCTTCTTATCTACATGTTTTCTTCAGAGGAGTCACATAGCTGAGTGAGCTAAAATAGGTGTCCTGTAGTTTTACATTATACCACATCTGAAAAGAGACTAACTGTTGAGTGTTGTCACTTATAACTGACTACACAATCATTTGAAATCAAATAAAAAAAGCCCAACAGAGCTGATTAAAAACCATACCTGTGTACGCGTCCTTATCTACTGACCAAAAGCATACATGACAGGCCTTTCACACTATCATAAGCATTTCACTCCAAAATACTCACACACACACATAAACAAATACTCACTTGTGCTGGAGAGTACGACGACCTGTTGGAGTCACAGGGGTTGTATGGTCCCCTGTGTGCAGTGGTGACTACGTGTTGCAGCCTCCTTACTTCTTCTCCCATCTCTCCTCTGGGACCTCCTCTCTCTTTTCTCCTGGCCACACCTCCAGGCGCCGTTCCAACAGTGATTAGTCCATTGTCCACCCCCCCACCCCCACAACCGGGGGCGCCCATGCAACAGAGGGTGCCCTGGGCCAGCTCCAGCTCAATTTCTGCATCCATCTCCGCCTCCTCTTGGGCCTCCTTGTTGGAGTCGTCCAGGTGCTTCATCAGCACGGCCACCACCACATTGATGAGCACAAACTGGGCGGTGAGCACAAAGGAGACAAAGTACATGGGCGAGATAAACTGAAGGCTCGGATTGCAGGCATAGTCCACATCAGTGTTATGGTCAGGTGGGCACTCCCGCAATGTGTCCTGGTGGGGGGAGAAGATGGGAATGGATTAGAGGTGCTGCAGTAATATAAGAATAAGAGTTACATTCAGCAGATCATTTGAAATGGTGCAACTAATATGAGGCTATAGTCTTGTTCTTAAATTCAAAAGTTCACAAAGTTCCAAGTGTGCGTTTTTCTGAGTTACATAAAGAGGTTGGACTGTACTCTCTGCAATTCACCATATGACAGATGCGTGTCATGGCGGAACACAATACTGCTATACGAAGCAGGAATGGCACTAGAAGAAGAGTTGTGATCCAGAAGTAAATCCTTCAAACTAAAACGTAAGATCTCAGGTTATCTATAGTACTCTGAGGCAGTTGTTGAAGTTTATATAACATCTATGATTGTTACCTCTTGTCACTTAGATGTGTCAACTGATACCTTTATAGACAGCAGTGCATTCTGGGAACGTTCCATCTGCCTGCATCGACTTATAAAAGACATGCAAATACAACAAAAAAAATCGTTTTATGATGCATGAATGGGTTTGTAGTTTGGAAGCTTGAAGCTCTCCTACCCACACACCGGTGTAATGCCATACACTCCTGTCCACTCTATGTTCAGAATCTGTGAACAACCGCTGTGAACACATCTGCTTTGCTCTTGGGTCAGCAGTGGCGCAATGGGAAGAGTAGTTGCCTGACAAGCGGTCAAGAGGTCGGTGGTTTCATTCTGGATTCCTCACCACATGTTTGAAGTGTTCTTAAGACACTGAATCCCACGTGACCACCAATCTGCTAGTGTGTGTGTGTGTGTGTGTGTGTGTGTGTGAATTGGTCAATGTGACTTGTAGTGTGAAGCATTTTGCAGCATGTAATGCCCTAACATTGAGAATCACAGGTTCCCAGAATGAATTACGTCACATTCTTGATACAAAGTCAATAGAGCTTGTGCAAACAAACCATCCTTGTTGTTCTTCTCGTGTAAATGACACTGTGTAGGACTACTTCTATCAAACACTTAAGCAAGGTGTTTCCTGTCAGATAATCACTGGCTTGTTTCTTGACATCACCACAATAAAGGCTGCCAAACTTTCAGTTTGCTCAGCCTGCTGCAGTATCACAGCTGTTTCATATAAAGGGGAGTTATCATGAATTTTATCTTCAGGTACTTCTAAAGTTGATACAAAACATTTTCATGAAGTTCTTTGCACGAAATCCCTCTCACATGATGCTCTTTCAGCAGTTTTATTCTTGACATTTTTCCTTCCATAATGAGTCGTATCAGGGCTCTGTCACTGAGAAAACAAGCTGAAACTGGCCATACCTACCCCTCCCCTGCTCAGGCTGCTATTAGCTGAGAAGCTCCGATATCTGGGAGGGGCTTGGAGCAGAGCCGTCGCTGTTCCTCCAGCAGCAGCTGTCTTTTACCCAAGAGGTGGTTCTATTCTACTTTCCCTGTTTGTGACATCACAAATGGGGATGTTTTTACATGGCTTGTTTTAGGCAAATGGTTCCTAAAATGAAACACTGACATGGCACCACAAAACGATGATAAAGGGGAAGTTTGCACATCTATGTTCCTTTAATAGTGCAGTTTTTTGTCCATGTTGAAATACTCCTTTGACACTGAGTTAGTCTGAAGGCAGGTGAGTTTCTCGTCACAGCTGACATGACCTAAGTCCAACAGCTCATTGTTATTTAATAAGAACCTAAAATAATCAGTAAAACTGCTTTATTTTATCACAAAGCCTAATCTATTAATTTAGCTTCAAGAATTTTTAGTCTTCAAATAATTTGACTTATTAAATGAATTGTTTAAAACTTAATAAAGGGTTGCAAAAATCATGCCGTGCACATCTGGCTGAAACGGCCCAAACCCTCTGGCGATGCGAGGTAAACCGTGAGCTACATAGCTCTTAGCTGGACACCACATGACCATGTTTTAAAACACGTGATGCGTTTTAGGCTAATTTGGCTTTCGATTATTCTAGATACACGAATCAGGATCTAAACAAAAGTCTATGTTTACATAATGAAGACAACAGCAGTTCCTGATTTATAACAGCATGTACAATTAGCATAGATTAATGCAAACATGTATCTATGCTAATGACATTAACACTGATCTATTAGCATAAATGAATGTTTACCTGATATAAATACGTCATTTTTCTCTTTCGTGCCAGAGAATGAACTGGTTTTCCACTCTGGTTAACATCCACAGTGGACTTCTGTCACAGTAAAACTAAAGTGACAAGAATTTTCTGGAGGAAGAAAGCGTATCTCACCCGGGCTGTGACCGCACATAACAATTTTATCTCTCCGAGCTGAAGCAGGTCTTTTTTTATCTAATTTGACCTGACATGTACACATTGTGCTCCTTCTCAAAAACATCTCCAATTTTGGCAAACATGCCCTCTCTCCATCTTATTTCTTTACACATTTCAGTTCTTTCAAATAAAGCAGACATTTTCTTACACTCAACCCCCGTTTCTTTCTCTCTTGTAGTGTTTTCCCATTATGTTTTTCATTTCTGCCTTCATTTTCCCTCTGGTTAGGAGAAAGCATACTAAGTGGCCCTTTTAACCCCTCTCCCCCCTCTTTTATTTCCACTCTTGTTACAGTTGGCTGGCGCTTTCCTTCCTTGTCACTGCACTTTCTCTCTATATTTCCCCTCTTCTCCATCATAGGTGCAACACTAGTTCTCACTGAGCATTACTTGCTTTTTACAGAACCTTAGCAGGTTCCTCTCTCACTGCTAAGGTTGTATTTTAGGTGTAAAATGGCAGAAAGTCTCTTTGAAGGGAGCATCTGTGGCCGGCTGGGCTTCTGGGCGTTTACTACTATCTGCTCTGCATGAATTCAGTATTTTCCAGCCGCTTCAAGCATAATCTCTATTCCTTACATAGCATAGATATATGGAGAAGAGAGAGTAGTTGCTGATGGATTCAATATGGAACAGTGTATTTACATACCAGGCAGCCATCTCGCTCCGCTTCATTGAGGAGGGATTCTTGCCTGAAACCACCCAATTTTTCCCACCATTACGTTTTACTGAATAGCAGATTCCATGCCATTGTTCTCGGATCCTTTCGGATCCGTTTTTCCCAATCAATCAAACTAACACGACACTGCCTGCCATCAATTCTTGACGGGATGGGCATGTACCTTCATGATGCCATTCCAGTTGTCGCCCGTGGAGACTTGAAACAAGGTAAGGAAGGCCATGCCAAAGTTTTCAAAGGTAGCGTGACGACTCATACCTTCACATGGGTAGTCTTCATTGCAAACTGTGAAAAAAAGAGAAAGAAAGGTTGGTCAGCTTACAAAGAGGAGCGATATGGGGGAGATAAGAAAAAGGGAGGATTAAAAGTTGTAGCGTTGTGAAGTTTATAATGGTCTGCCCTTAACAGCTGCCCCTTCATACAGTAACATCACCAAGGTCGGACGCTTGGTTCAGTATGTTTACATTCCAGGCGAAGAGACAGAAGAACAGAAGAAGAACGCTTTTCATTGATTAATCAAAGTACTTTATTTGTGATAAGCTAATCAAAGCATATGTTGATCATTAATAATCAGGTGAATGATCTGTGAAATAAAGATGTCATGAGTTATGTGTTTAAATGAATAAACAGGACTGCACCAGACAGACTGATATGCATTACCATGGAAACGCATGACACATTATTCTCAACCAATCAGAACTTTCGTCTGTCGTAGAGAGAATCTGGGATGTTTACTTAATGTGTCCAATCCGGTTTACTAAGATTGGTAAACAATTAGGAGATATAAAAGAAGGCAACGCCATTTTATATTCAGTTCCACGTTAAGTTCCACGTTAACATCAGCTCTGTTCGATCTGAGCTCCCAAGGAGTTACATCATACTCTCAACATTGTTTTCAACCAGCTCTCAATCCATCACCGCAAAGAGGAGTGCAGGCTGGCCAGCTGTATTTCCTGTTTTAAGCTGAGAACTGTCAAGCTGGAGATTTCCGTTGTTTGAATCAACGAGACGACATTCCTTCAAAATAAGAGTGAACTTGCTGACGCCTGCCGACTACTACCAGAGCTATCCTCAGACGGGCGTTGTGTGCTGCGACCGCTGTTCCACCAGCTCCAGTACAACCGAGGTCTTAGGACCTGGCAATTCCTGATCTACACGGGAGACTCCATATACGGTACGTGGTCACGGCAATATGGCGGCTCATGTCATCATCTTCTGAAGCCTCGTGGTAGCCTAGTCATAACAACCAGATTCGCTACGTCAGCCTAGAGATTCTGAACAAAACACACACACACACACCAACACGAAACATCTAAATCCATATGCATTCATCATTGAGACAGTCCTGGTAGATTGTAAGAATTTATAATTATAGAAATTAAAGATTCTTAAACGATCCCAACTCTCTCTTTTTCTTGTCTCTCAGTCAATACAGATTGTTTAAGTAAACTCCCTGATGATAAAAACAACCACTTCTGATTGATTACTTAGATCTAATTACAGTGTATAAATATACAAAATCAGATAATTAAATTATCTAATTACAGTGTATAAATATATCTAATTACAGTGTATAAATATACAGGTGCTGGCCAGTAAATTAGAATATCATCAAAAGGTTGAAAATATTTCAGTAATTCCATTCAAAACGTGAAACTTGTACATTATATTCATGCAATGCACACAGACCAATGTATTTCCGATGTTTATTACGTTTAATTTTGATATTTATAGGTGACAACCAATGAAAACATCAAATCTGGTATCTCAGAAAATTTGAATATTCTAAAGGCCAATGAAAAAATGTTTGTTTCTCTAATGTTGGCCAACTGAAAAGAATGAACATGAAAAGAATGTGCATGTATAGCACTCAATACTTAGTCGGGGCTCCTTTTGCCTCAATAACTGCAGTAATGCGGCGTGGCATGGACTCGATCAGTCTGTGGCACTGCTCAGGTGTTATGAGAGCCCAGGTTGCTCTGATAGTCGTCTTCAGCTCCTCTGCATTGTTGGGTCTAGCGTATTGCATCCTCCGCTTCACAATACCCCATAGATTTTCTATGGGGTTAAGGTCAGGCGAGTTTGCTGGCCAATCAAGGACAGGGATACCATGGTCCTTGAACCAGGTGCTGGTGGTTTTGGCACTGTGTGCAGGTGCCAAGTCCTGTTGAAAGGTGAAGTCTGCATCCCCATAAAGTTGGTCAGCAGCAGGAAGCATGAAGTGCTCTAAAACTTCCTGGTAGACGGCTGCATTGACCCTGGACCTCAGGAAACAGAGTGGGCCAACACCGGCAGATGACATGGCACCCCACACCATCACTGACGGTGGAAACTTTACACTGGACCTCATGCATCGTGGATTCTGTGCTTCTCCGCTCTTCCTCCAGACTCTGGGTCCTTGATTTCCAAAGGAAATGCAGAACTTGCTTTCATCAGAAAACATAACTTTGGACCACTCAGCATCAGTCCAGTCCTTTTTGTCCTTGGCCCAGGCGAGACGCTTCTTGCGCTGTTTCTTGTTCAAGAGTGGCTTGACACACGGAATGCGACACCTGAATCCCATGTCTTTCATGAGTCTCCTCGTGGTGGTTCTTGAAGCGCTGACTCCAGCTGCAGTCCACTCTTTGTGGATCTCCCCCACATTTTTGAATGGGTTTGTCGTCACAATTCTCTGCAGGGTGCGGTTATCCCTAGAGCTTGTACACTTTTTTCTACCACATTTTTTCCGTCCCTTCGCCTGTCTGTTAATGTGCTTGGACACAGAGCTCTGCGAACAGCCAGCTTCTTTAGCAATCACCTTTTGTGTCTTGCCCTCCTTGTGCAAGGTGTCAATGATTGTCTTTTGGACAGCTGTTAAGTCAGAAGTCTTCCCCATGATTGTGGTGCCTTCAAAACAAGACTGAGGGACCTTTTAAAGGCCTTTGCAGGTGTTTTGAGTAAATCAGCTGATTAGAGTGGCAGCAGGTGTCTTCTATATTCAGCCTTTTCAGAATATTCTAATTTTTTGAGATACCAAATTTGGAGTTTTCATTAGTTGTCACTTATGAATATCAAATTTAAATGTAATGAACATTGGAAATACATTGGTCTGTGTGCATTGCATGAATATAATGTACAAGTTTCACGTTTTGAATGGAATTACTGAAATATTTTCAACCTTTTGATGATATTCTAATTTACTGGCCAGCACCTGTACAACTTCAAATCACTACAAAGTCAAAAGAAAAGGAACTGAAGACTTGTGAGTTTTGATGGTTAGCTTTGAAACAACATTGTTCTCCAAATCGAATGAATGTGTGAAACCTTTCAGCCGAGCCAGCAGACACAATCTGTCATCCAGTCAATAACAATGTATTTGTTTTGGAGCTCTTATCAAGTTAAAATCCTGAGATCTGTGACACCAACAGGTTGCTTCCTTTAGCTTCTAAGCAGCTGCGGCTCTAGAGAAAAATGTTTGTTCATAAGATTCACTCTTTGAAGTTTAGTAGGAATGTTTTAAGACAGCTTTTATAGCTTCAAAACTGTGACGGTGGTTTGAAATGCAAATTAATGACAGTGGCTTTTAAAGGACTTAAAAGTACAGGAGGAAATTAGAAATGTTTTTTGTTTCTTAATGCTCTGATTGAACTGAGAAAACTGAGGTAAAAATATTATTATATTCATCAGTATTGTCTAATTAATGCATAGAAAAATATTTCATTACATTTCCGCTCTTCTCACTTTTTCACACTTAACCGTCTCAGGCTCAAAATAAGTTTTGATAAAAGGACGAACAACTAAGTCCTTCAGGGGTACTTCTGAGTTAAAAAATGCTCATGACATACGTATGTGGAGTAACCAGGTAGGTTTTAACGATGCAAATTTGCGACACCTGCCTCCAGAGGGTTAAATGTTTCTGATGAGTCAAGAAATTATAATAGCATAGAAAGTCGGAGTAATTACAAAAAGCTGCTTGATATAATTTACTACAGCTAGGGCAAATCTGCAAAACAAGCTAGCTTGAAACTTTTTTTCAAACAACATAACATACAGCTATAAATATTTTGTGGAGTATTTTGACCATATTTGTATTTAAAAGACACCCCATGGACCAGTGCTGTCTATTGGAGCCTGGTTCAGGAAGTACAAATCAGCTGGAGGAGAAAGCAGCTTCAGACATCTGGAGTCTTATTTGCTGATATTATTTCGCCTCTGATTGGATAACAGCAACGTGACTCTACCTCTGAATCCATTTGGTGTGCAACGTTGATGTTATATCTCCACAAATAACACAATCCTGAAGGGGTTCTGCAGTGTGGTGGAGTTGCTAATGCTAATGGTTAACGTCTCCTAGCCAAAACGTCCTCAGCTGTTTCCTAGATGCTAAACCAGCGACAGCCTTCTCCGTCGCGAGTCGAGATGGGTCAGCGCAGGAATGTTAAGTGACAGTGTGATGTAGATCTGTATACAATAGATGTAGTGACTATCAAATCCCACTTTTAGTCACCTTCGGGTGCGGGTGGAGGCAATGACTCGCTTCAACAATATTGTCCAGGCAGAAAGCGGGTTTGGGTTTATTGTCCCATTTATTGAATATGATGATGATCACAAGCTGGGTCCACAGTGGCTATTTCTTGTCCAGGTTTATGTAAATGATGAAAATTATAACGGCAAATTAGATGTGGCGTATGGAACCAAACGAAGCGGTAAAAACCGTGTGACCTCCCGTCACCCAGAAAACGCCAGTGCACTGCCACCTCAACACCTTTATAGGCTCCGCAGTGCCACCAGTGGTCAAAGGAAATACAAACCATAGTGCAATAAACTGAAATGTACATAAAACATTATCAAAATAAACTTAGACCATAAAATAATCTAAACCAAAACAATATTGGCTCCTACAATAGATATACAAGACTATAGATAATAAGTGAAAGGAGATGTTACATCTCAATTTTCAGTGTTTTAAAAACTGTTAGGTTTAGTGTTTTATTAACGTTTACACATATATATATATATATATTTACTGCTGGAATAACTTTGAAGTGACAATGTGTAGTTTTTACCATTAATGTCTGGAATTATCTATTGAAATGTTGAAAATGAATTGAATGATGCCCAGTTGTTGAAAAACATTGGCGGCTTTGTAACATTTAACCAGAAAAATCTAAACTAAATGGGGGTGGGTCTAAGGGTGTTTTTCAATGCCTAGGAACCTTGCCTTGATGTCTTGGCTCTGCCACGGTTGCCTAGGAGATATGCCATCAGGAGCTGCCAAGACGCGTTCCATTGTTCATGTTCTACCGAGGCATGTGTTCTCCGTTTGTTAGCCGTGTAGCTAGCTGAGGAAGGATGCATGGGAGGTGTCTTGTAGCCTAGCCTTGGTCAAAAATTTCCCAGAATACACCGCAGTATTTTCAAAAGGATGGCAAATGAGAAGCAAGCAGCTACTTCTGGGGCAAATTTCAAGTTTAAAAGGAAGTCAATTAATTTAAAATATTTCTTTTAGTTCCAAAGAAGTTATTTTGGTTGGTTAGTTGCTTAGTAGTAGCATCTTCAGTGGCTAGTGAGTAGTAACTCGCCTATATATTTAATTTAACAAATATATACACAATTTAAAAAGTTAAAGGCTTGCTATATATTTATATTGAAACTTATACGTATAAAATATAACATTATCTCTAGTGTCACGTGATGTTACGTGACCGCCGTGGAAGCTGCGGTCACGTGATGGAAGTCTGTTCCATTTAACCGTTTTCTTTGACCAAGGAAGGACAGTGTCCTCATGAGCAAGGCACCTGGCCTCACAAGGCCAGGAGCCTTGACATTGAGAAACGCCTAAGTCTCTGGGCGACGCCATATTAGATGGCACATTTCCTTGTACGTGAGCTCATGAGGACAAAACATTCATTCACGGATTTGTAACAAATGGTGGCAAAATTTTCGCCACTCATAAACATTCTACACATTTACCTCTTCACTTGTTGTCAGGGATGAAAGGGAGTCTGATGTGCTTGTCATTCTGCTGAGGTTGATTAATCCGATAAAGTATTCATTTGAAAACTACGGTCCCAGGGATTTTTGACACTAATCGTTGGCAAGGTCTTCCTCGAGCACAAAAAGATTTAGGTATGCACTGGCCACTAATTGCCAGGAAAAATATACACAGTCGTTTTAATTATTAAATGTGTTTTTAATACTGTCAGAATAGCCTTTTGTTATGCATTATTATTAATACAGGGTAGCATATAAATTAGGTGTTTTTAGTTTTGTATAGGATATCTTCCATTTTCAAATGTTTTTTTAATATTGTTTTGTTATTATTTTCTAATACTGTGCAGAAAAACCCAACCAGGGACAGGAGTTGTAAATTAGCTATAAGCTCTGAATGCATTGCATCAGATGCAACTTGCTCTATGTTGGTCAGTAATGTCCCCGTCAAGTAAAGATTCAGTCAGTAAAATTAATTTACCAATACTTGAACAAATGGACACAGTGTGTACTGAAGTAACAAGATTTTCAACAAAATGTCACACAAACTCACCAAGTTCTCCAAAAAGCTCTACTCCTAAGGCGGCGTAGATGAAAAACAGTAGCATGAAGAGCAGGCCCAGGTTACCCACCTGCAGCACACAAACACAACAGGAACAACTCTTTTAAAATTCTCATCCTAAATTATTTTAAAAACACACAAATCACACAAAAATGTTTCTAACAGCATTGTGACATGGTCTCATGCTCTGGTTATTTTACGCACATGACATGCTTTTAGTACAAATAAATAGTCTATTGAACCGTCCTTATTGCTGGTTAATTTATTGCTCAATGGATCTGCAATAAATTATGTATAGTAACATAAAATGATGCTTTCTATTAATGAAAAAAGCAGTTTAAAAACATACAGGTTCAAATTCCTTTTTTGGAGATATAGCGGCCACACAACTGAATTTGACAGTTTATTGCAGATATGAATTATGATGAGTCCTTTACTGGTTAATACTGAACAGATCAGCTCAGAGTGTTTTCATCATGCTGCTCTTGTCTTATCCGATTTGAATCTGTAAACAGCAGCGCTGCTTCTTGAGAGGCTTTAACAACCCAACCGCTCGTGCTTTTATGAATTTTTGAGTTTGGGGTTTTGGGATTTGGCTCAATTCCACCACGAAACTGACTTCTATTAACCCAACTTAATGGAGATGAAGATGTTAGACAGCAAACACTCAGGGCAAAAACTAATCCCATTACAGGGAAATGAAACATTCTGCCAACGGCGTTGTTATTCTCCGCTGAGAATGAGGACAAGCTCTGACCACAAGTGCTGGCTGCTTCTACCTATTCAAAAAAACAAAGGTTTAAGATTTCACCTAATTTTACAGGCAAATATGCTGGTTGATTATTACTTTTCATTAGTATTGAGATACTTGTAATCTTGATATAGATTCCATTGTGTCAGTGCATGGCATCCGTTTAGCTTCAGATACAGGAGTTGCCATTAAATGAATATAGAAAAATGACCTTGTTCATCAGCATCTTTAAATTAGAAGAAATAAAACATGTTTTCTGGCATATAAATAAGCAAATACGGCATTAAGATGTCTCAATTGGGGGGATACAAAGAGCAAAATCAGTTCATACTCAGCAACAATGACAATAAAATCACCTAAAAGAAATGGTCTGATTTTGACATGTTTATGTTTATGTATTTAGCAGACGCTTTTGTCCAAAGCTACTTACAAGTGATAATCGGAATTTTGCCCTTGAGGCTAACAACAACAATAACAACAACTTGACATCAATCACGGAGAGGAGGGAACATAATTTGGTACACATGAAGACCAGTTATGGGTATGGGTATAGAACTGGCGCTTTGTGATTTATATCTGTGAAAGGCGCTATATAAATAAACTTTTACTTACTTACTTACTTACTATATAACTGGGAAGAGACCACGAGGGAAGACTAAGCTCTCAAATTACCGGTCGATACGTTCCTACCCTCACTTATGGTCACCAGCTTTGGGTAGTGACCGAAAGAACTAGATCGCAGATACAAGCGGCCAAAATGAGTTTTCTGCGCAAGGTGGCTGGGCTCTCCCTTAGAGAGGGTAACATGAAGAATTGATTCAGGAGGAGGGAAGAAAGGCACTTCATAGCTACTCTCCCACCAGGAGGGCAGATTTGCTCTGCAAAAAAAATAAATAAAAATAAAACACCTCAAACAGATAAGCAACAGACAGCACAACACAACATCACATGATAATAGGAAGGGGGGGGGGGGGGGAATGGTGGCTGGGATCCTGTTTCCCCAGCGAGAGCAGCCATGTACGGCGCTCAGCCACTGTAGCCACAGGTGGGAGGGAGATCTTGGGAGGAGCGCAGAGCACATTGACTCCTGCAGGTGGATGACCTTGCCAGGCTGAAGTCCACCAATCCGAAGGCGGAAGCATCTGTCTGCATTTGTTCGTGGGGGTTGTTGTTGGCATCTCAAGGCTGCCATGGCGTCAGATTTGGATAACAAGACTTTGTTAGGGTCAGGCTGAGATAATTTTCCTCTCTGCCTTCGGTCTTTAACCGATCATTCCAGTCCTTCAGTGAAGCCAATTTAGGTTTTTAAACAGGTTTTCTGCTCCAAAACACATGACTCGAATGATTGCATCACCTTCACAGTGTGTTGTCAGGTTCACGGTATTACATAATACCCAGAGTATTGAAGATGGACCAACCCAGGAGAGGACTGTCAAATGGTACCATGTTACTAACTCCATTTGTTTACTGGTATGAAACTCTTTGGAATGAACTATGAATTCACTGTTTACATAAGCTGCCATTGACACCATAGCATGACTCACACTTGTATAGCACCTTTCAGAGTCTGAGGACTCCAAAGCGCATTACACTACAGTGTATCATTCATCCATTCACACGCACATTCACACACTGATGGTGATGAGCTACGATGTAGCCACAGCTGCCCTGGGGTGCACTGACAGAGGTGAGGCTGCAGAGCACAGGTGCCACCGGTCCCTCCAACCACCACCAGCAGGCAAGGTGGGTTAAGTGGCCCAATGACACAACAGCAGAATTCGATATCTGGAGCTGGGATCGAACCTGCAACCTTCTGATTACTGGACAACCTGCTCAACCTGTTGAGCTACTGCTGCCCCCCATAGTGTTTTATTGCCCGGTTGTAGTGGTGATGGGTTACCTCCTGAGGCAGCTGAAGAAATTCAACCAGCCAGAACTGCTCTACACGACAATCTTCGAGTCCATCCTCACCTCCTCAATCACCATGTGGTACGCTGGAGCTACCACCAGGGACAAGAAGAGGCTGCAGCGTGTTGTACGCTTTGCTGAGAAGGTTATTGGCTACAAACACCCCTCCATACAGGACATGTACACCTCCAGGACATTGAGGCGTGCAGGTCGAATAACAGCTGACCCGTGTCCCCCTTTTTGACTTGCTCCCATCTGACAGGAGGCTCAGATCCATTCGGACTAGAACCTCTCGCCACAAGAACAGTTTCTTCCCCTCTGCTGTTGGACTCATGAACAACAATCCTAGGGCTGCCCACTCCAGTTGATGACCCGGTGTTGTGCTTGTACCTGAACTGATCCGCTCTGATTAGTACCTTTACCTTCTTGCATGTAGCAGCTATTTCTCTAAGTATTGCCACTTTATATTACTATTTTGTCATGATTATATCCCTATTTCCTATTTTTTCTTATCTCTTATGTTTATCTTCCTTTTTTTGCACCAAGTACCAAAGCAATTTCCTAATGTTATGATTCTTGCACATATGGCAATGAAACTGTCTGATTCTGATGGCTTCCTGTAGACTGGCACCAAAACTGAGAAACATGGACCAATGATAAGTGGTTTTAGATTATTTACTGTAATGGATATTGGTGGTGCATTACTACAGGTGACCATGGTGCACATGTATGACCTGGTCAAGGGGAACAGGTGCAGCTCATGATATTATGATATTAAGACCCCCTAGGAACAACTCAGTATCTTCTCAATAGATCCTTACAGCACAATGACATCACTCGTTCATACCTTGGTACAGTCCATCCATCTATCCATTTTCTACACTAGTTAGTGTTTACTGAACAAGAGGTACTGTTGACCTTAATCATCATCATCACTAATGTTGTAGAAGTTTGTTGCTGAGTGCCACTAGTCTTCTCACATCAAGTACTGTATGTGGCCATTTTTTCTGTGGGAGTTTTCTGAAGCCGTTGTTTAAATATCAATGCCACCCAGTCCTGTTTGTTGGAATGAAACACATTTGCCAGGTTGCCTTTTTAGTTTCACCGTTCTGTCACCGAAGGTAAAGCTAGTCACCAGGTATGACGCTTCTGCTCTACTTTTCAGCATCTCTACATTCACACACATCCATTTAGATACAAAAAGACCTCCTGGAACTTTTTAATTAGCCTTAGATTAAATTACCTCCTTGCATGCCCGTGGGACAGAACAAAAGACTGGGTGTTAATGAGAGAGGGATCAATAGAATGGAAAAGACAAGGAATCTGCTCTTGCTCACCACTGACTGCCCTCTTCTCACCTCACCACCTGGTTCCATCTGTTTGATTTATGTTACTTTTGCTGGTCAGTGGATAATCTGTGTGTGTGTGTGTGTGTGTGTGTGTGTGTGTGTGTGTATGTGTGTGTGTGTGTGCCTGTATAAGAGCTTCTGTGTCTTACATGTGTCTTTTCTAGACAACATCTGGTGTTTAAGGGCTTGTTATGATTTTCTCACTTGCTTTTCTCTTCGGAGACAAAGGTGAAAGGATTCACCTGCCTGTGGAGGCTGTCCAGTGTGTTGTAAAAAGACCAAAGTCCTTACGCTTTTTGTTGTGTATATGCAAGAATGGTGTCCTAATTACTGCTAGTGCTCTACAAAAACGTCAAAAGCTCTAACTTCAGCTATGTAGATTGTTTGCTTTATGTATTCACAGGCAAATCCACGAGAATGTGAGTTAACACGGTGATCGTTTACAATAAATGTGTGAGTGGAGTGATCCCAGATGTTTCTATCGAGGGGCATTTTTTGTCAGAAAACCAACTGCTGAGAACCTAGTTGTAGTTTGCTTAACTGACAATCAGCTGAAACATGAAAGGCAGGTGATAATGTTTTTGCCTGGGGTTGTGTGTATGTCTATAGAGGTTTATAGATTTTAAACCACTGGACACATTTCAATAGCTCTTTTTACAAAGTGATGCTGTAATTTTTCCGCAACGCTGTGGCGGCATCAGGGAGCCTTAGGTTGTTTTGGTCAGATCGTGGCGGTAATGTGGTGCAACCGTGTCCTATTTTACAAAAGATTAGGCAATGTTGACATAAAGAGGGTATGGGGGTGGTCTCTGAGCTGCAGCAGACATCCGTTTATCTTAAACGTAAGATGCTTTTTATTCAGATTGAAACCGTGATCGTTAAAGAGACAATGTGTAGTTTTTACCAATAATCTCTGGAAATATCCCTCAAAATGGTGTTGAAATGAATGAAATGATGCCCAGTTGTAGAAAAATATTGGCAGCTTCGTAACATATCTCCATAAAAATCCAATCTAACATACATGGGAGCGGGTCTAAGTCTCTGGACGATGCCATATTAGATGGCATGTTTCCTTCTACGGGAGCCCATGAGGACAAAATGCATTTACTGATTTGTAACAAACGGTTACAAAACTTTTGTCATTCTTGAATGTTGTTTTTCACATTTACCTCTTCACTTGTTGCCAGTGATGAAAGGGAGTTTGATGTGCTTGATCTTTTGCTAGAGTTTGCACTCCCCAGAGCTTTTTGACCCTAATGTCCATCCATTGAGAAGATCTTACTCCAACACAAAAATACTACTTGCTTGCAAGGATTTAGGTATCTACTGTCCCCATCTCCAGGAAAAATACACACTGTCACTTTAAGTATTTTTGACAAGCCGCTCCTATAGGTGTCTGCTTCCCACAGTCCCGGTGCAGCCTCTGGAGATCTGAGCTCTAGTTGTAACAGAGAGAAGCTCCTGGAGAGCTGCACTGCTACAGTTTATCATTTCAGCTGATTCTGTTTACAACAGCAAAACTTTCGACCCTTGTTTACTTTCATTTTCAATATACCATATTGACCCGAACATAAGATGAGGTTTTTTTCATTGAAAATAATTTTAAAATGTGGGGTCGTCTTACAATCGGGGTCCAACCATTACATGCCCGTAACAGCAGAGGGCGCCAGGCTGCGTGTTCTCAACAGGAGAAAAAAAATGGAGACGAGAGTTCCGGAGAAGAGTGGACCAAAAGTGGGGCAGGTTATCATACTAAGGCAGTTATGTGCATTTTAAGATGATGGTGGTCAATTCAGCAGAGCCGTGAAACATTGAATACATGGATGAATTGGATGGCAGCGAGGATGACGTTCTGGGAGGAGTCGGCAGGTGTAGCGATCTGATGGCACACCGGGACCGCAGCAGCATGAGTGAGTACATCGAGGCAGTGGGCGTCTAAATAAAAGCCTCATTTGACTTTTGATTTCACATGTCAGCAAAGTTCTGATAATCTGCATTAAAATAGTATTAAATAATAGTATAAAATATAAATCAGTAAAATAGTTTTTCTGCTTTTTTTTCAATAAAAATATTTAATATAAAAAGTGATTTTTTTATTTTTTTGTCCTTTCCTGAAGATTAGCCTTGGAAAGGAGGGTCGTCCTATAATCGGGGTCGCCCTATTTCCGGGTCAATACGATAGTCACCGGCCGGAGCTCGACAGTAACTCCCCACGTGATCACGACACCTCCCTCTTTTCCGCCAAGGCCTAATCGCCTTTTATAAGACAGACAATTACCGCAATTTTACAGAATGAATGCCGCAAAAGTTCGTGTATCACCATGTTGGCATTGCGAGCTTATAAGACACACGGTTGCAGTAATAATAGGCTGATTGGTGTGTCCTGTAAAAGGGGCTTCTGAAACAACTTTTGGAGTATATCCAATTCAAGACTGCTGCCACAGTTAATTAAACATAGTTGAATATAGTAACGATCCTTTTTCAACACAGTATGATTGAGAACGGATTAGTGAAGTGACGTTCACAAACAAATGTTTTGAACAGCTCTTCAGAGTGAACGATGAGAGCTAAGCTGAGTCCTTCTAGTCCACCCCACTTGCTCTAACGGACATCGGGAGGATGCTCCGCTCATCCAACCCCCTCCCGGGCCTAGAACTTAAAAACCACATTTCCTGTGTTGTTGTTGAACATAAGTAGCTTGTGATGTCTAATGTGAAACACAGAAACGCCTGTGCCATCTCTGACCTGCTTTCATAAGTAAATTAGTAATGTAGTAATTGCCGCTGGGATACATCTTGTTCTGAGAAACACTGAATTAACTGCCTTGCATTTGCATGTCCAAAACCTGCTTTAATGTCAACGATATATAAACATTAGTCAGGGTAATGCTAACCCGAGCTACTCCTAACATCCTTGTTGGACAAGATGAAAACAACAACGAAGGATGTTGGAGCAACACCCACATTCCAGGGTGAACTGGTGACACCCAGGCAATGAATGAGTGCCAGATAGACCCATAAGTTGTGGTGCTTGTCATTGTAACCATTCAGCACACAGCTCATTTAATATTCATGTGCTGGCTGAGTGGGCGGGGCAAGTTTTCACTCACATATAAGCACAGGTCTAATAGACAAAACAAAGAAAACAATCCAGGCTTGCTACTGCTTATAGTGCTACGCCCCACTTCGGTTCACGCAGGCTCTTCTTTGGGGCACTGCTGACAGTTTAGATCTTAGATCGCAGTGAAACAACGCTGTCATAAATCCCAACCAGGGAGGGATAATCCGCTGACGTCTCTGCTGCCCGTCGGGAACTTTGCTTGACTTCACAGTGTCCCCTCAAGGAGATTACAAGAGATTTCACCACTAAACCGTTTTGTTTGATCAAAACAAAAGCTCTAATATTCCTCACAAAAGCGAGCTTAAGCTGAGTCTGTTTAGCAGATGAACTTTAAGTGCACCGGAATAAAAGGGGATGGCCTAGAAACCAAGACGCCGAGGACAGTTCACCGCCAAACGACCTACAGACTGGCTTAGGAACGGTTTCTCACACACTCTGGTCACAGCGGGAGTCTGGGTACTTCACACAGTGCTGGAATTTAAAACAAGACAAACGATGTGCTTGTGCATGAGGGTGAGCGTGTGCACATGAGGATCCATTAGAGTCGCCTGAAGGCCAACAGAAAACGAGAAGTAGGGCACGTGTCTCCTGACTGAGATGGGTAAACTTCCTTTTGAGGAATGAGGCCTGTGAGAGACGGACAGGTGAGAGGGTAAGAGTTGTACCTGAGGCAGGGCTTGGACAACTGTATCCAGTAAGGCTCTCATTCCTGTTGCCATCTTCAGTAGCTTCAGCACTGAGTCAGAGAAGAGGAAGATTCAAACAAATTTACAGGGAGAATCTATAAATTCTAATTAAACATAAAACATTAAATTGAGAAAAAATGTCTTTAAATTGCAACCTTTTCAACATACTTCCATACAGGTAACTGACCTATAAAAACACCCATTTTATCACACTGCCAAGTCCAAATCAATTTTCTATTTATAGCAGGTGGGGTGTGAAAAGGACCTCCAACGCGAGCAGCGGTTATACCTCGTGCTATCCTCAGAACTCTCATGATCCTGATGATGGTGGGGTTGATGGGCAGGGCAGCGCTGATCTCAATCTCCTCCAGGGTGATGCCCATCACTGACAGCAGAACAATGGCCAGGTCCAGCTGGTTCCACCTAGAATGAACCCAGATTAGAACAGTGCTGAAAAAAGGCCTCAAACCCAAACATGGCAAATGGAGACAATAGCAACAGAGCTTTGACACGTTTTTAGGCAAACATGAAAAAAAAGCGGTCAGAGGTGATGGCGTTTGTTATCTTGATAGCTTTTACCATAAATCAAAACCTTTTGTGTGTATCTGATTGTTCATGACCTTTTCACATTTCTATACAGCAGTGTATGCGTAACGTTCTGTTATAGAAATGAACTTTTCATTGACTTTTTTAAATTTTTATTGTACTGCTGTTACATTTTTTTGTTCATTCATATTTTTAAAGAAAAGAAGAAAAAGGATATTTCTGCAACTCGGCTCAACTCAACAACAAACCTCACCAGGTAATGCTAGTGATGTCCCAACCAAGCCCCCACAATGCAGCTCTAAAATTGAGGCAAACCCGGAAATGAAATAAATTGCAGTTCCACCCTCATCCACTAGGGGCTGGTGTCAGAAGCGAGCAAATCCTCATTGACTCCCATGTTAAAAATACCAATTTCACAGCAGAAATAAACATGTTTACAGCCTGGTACCAAAACATGTTTTTTGTTTAATTGATCTAGTTTACACTCATGACAACTCTGAGGGGGGTGAATTTTTTTCTCACTCTTCTGTTTAAGTGTATTAAAAGCCTAAAATTCTGTATAATTAATGAGCACCCGACCCACGTGACCACAGAGCTAGCTCCGTGGAAAGGCCTCAGTAGAGCATCTACTGTGCATCATCAGCAAATGAAGTATTACATGTATGTGATCCGGGGCATAAGGCAAAGCGTATTAGAGAACAACTCTTTTAGCCACGTTCACTTGCATTCATTCATCTTCCGGGGACCCATGAGACGGTCGGAAAGGGAGGGGACTTAAGATCTCAGACTAGCAGAAGCTAATTCAGGAGATAGGTGTAGGAGACCATTTTCATGTTGAGCCTGCATGTTAAACTCAGAGTGGCTGATTATAATCAGAAATAATAAATAAAAATGTTTTTTTTCAGTGTCCCACACCTTTAAAAGGACTAATTATGATCTCAACAAAATGTATGCAAAATAATGAATATAAATAAGGAACACAGCAGTACTTTAAGAAAATGTTCTATAACGTTCCGCACTATACTGGAAAACCTTTTGACATTTAATATGAACAACCCTGCCATATTTGCCTCTTCCCAAACTGTCTGACTTCTGGCAAATCTCGCATTTTCCCCTTTTCTTTGCTCTTGAAATCATATTACCCGCCTGTTCAGGAGAGCAAACGGAGAGAGCAACATGTCCGTGGCCACGTTCTCACTTCATCATGCCAAGAAGACACACATAACTGCGAACTAGCGTTGCCTGTAGCCACACAGGTCACACAGCTACTGTGTTTGTGTGTTAATCTCTACTCCATTGACCCAGTTCCAAAGCAGAAAGTGACCCCAGACTATAAATCACACCATGGGCAAAGATGGTTCACCGCTTCTACATAAAAAAAGACAAAGCGCTGGCAGATAACTGATGGATTTTCATGACATCATCCATCCATTTCTCACTCATTCGTCCACCTCTTTTATCTTTGATCAACCCTGCTTCCCTGTCATACAGCGTCTCGTTTACTAACCATTTCTTCTCATTTCAATTACGCAACTAAAATGTGTCAATGGAATGAAACTAGCATATATATATATATATATATATATATATATATATATATATATATATATATATATATATATGCATATATATATATTTTTTTTTTGTGTGTGTCAAACTGGTGTGTTTTAATCAGGAGGTTTAAACAAAAATGGGTATTATGTGAGTATGATGAAGGAATTGGAGGTGTAGAACAAACACATGAAGAAATAATGGGACTAACCAACAAATTTGAACAAAATTACTGGAATTACTGGATGCATTGAGGGTAAAAAAAATCACTCAGACTGATTAAATGCCTTTTGTGATGCTTTTCATGTTTAATCACGAGTATGAAGCACTCGTCTAAATTTTTATTAATGTTTTAATTGCATCTGTGAGTGCCTATAATTAAAAAATAGTCATATTAGATTGTATGAATAGTAGAATCATGAAAAAAACAACATAAAATCCTTCAAATCCAATGTAATCTATGTGTGTATTACAGAGGGATCCTGAAGCTTTGTTGTGTCTTAGACATGCTTGTGTAAACACTTCCACGGGTGGGGACACACGCTGCACCTGTCTTTGAAGAAGCGTCGGAATCCAAACGCGATGAGCTTCAGCACCGCTTCCAGCACGAACATTGAGGTGAAGAAATAGTTGCAGTACTTGAGGGCGAGATCCAAAGACTGAAAGGAGAAGCAGCGAAAAGGAAACATTTGTGCGTGTTTGTGTGTATTTAACTGTGCTAGCAGCATCAGCGGGAAGAAACGGCAAACTGGAATCCTTCCAGTTGTTTCTGGAGTCAAACCAGAAGCGCTTCAGGCCAAATCAGTGCATGCAAACCCTCAGACATCAGGTCGCCTCACAAACACTTGTTTTAAAGGTGAGCATTCAAACATCAAAGAGGCAAGCATGCTGTAACTGTTTTGAAAAAAATAAAATCCCATGTTTGGATCCTGTTCCTGCAGAGGAGACGGCGCCTTCTAAAAAGCTGCCTTGCAGCACGTGGGAGGCTGCCAAATGTCAGGATCATGACAACCACAGCCAGACCTGTGATATTTATCTGATGCTTGGTCAGTTTGAGAAAGCACGTCCTGTTTTAAAGGTCAAATGGGCGTCTTGTCTCTAGATAATCACTGTTCTCTCCTTCACCAAAGTGCTGTCAGGCTTTGGAGCCTCCCTTCGCCACACAGAAACAGACGGATGAACAGCTAACGCACCTCTGTCAGAAACAAGAGAGCAGTCACCGCTCTGTGTGGACCAGAGTGACTCACGGCACTGGGCCTGGATGCTGAGTTGACTAAGAAGGAGTATCGTGCAACGATATGGCTCAATAAAAACCATGACCTGGTCACACTGACACCTACAAAATGCAACCTGCTGAACTGTAACGGGAGCTGAAGGGAAGTGTGTTTCTGCATAAATCTTATAAACAAGCATCATCTTATCTGTTGTAGATCGCTCCCTGAACAGCCTCTGTTTGGTAAAATAGCTTTTACTCCCTTCACGACTCATGAACTCATGTCTAAACCAAATTCATCCTTTCATGTATTGCTGATGTTTCCACCAGCTGCACATGTTCACAGCATTTAATTCAAAAGTTAATAAACGTTTGTCAGACATGATAATATTAAGACATGCATGCTAAAACTAACCGATGCATGAACTGCTCTTGCTCCATCCTACCATCGCTCATGAAAAAGACAACAAGATATTTTAAAGTCCACTTCTTGAAGCAGAGACTCGCTGACTAGACACAACCTGGAGAAAGGATTCCACATTTTCCTGTCTTATGATTGAGAGCAGCTGACTCATCCCAGCGGATCCGTGAACCGTCCCAGTGCATGCTAACCCCACTGAACCACATTGATCTGCACAGAGTAGAGATCTTGTCTCAAAGAGGGCATAAGCTCGTCTTTTTACAGACTTTCACTGTCTTTACAAAGATTCATGATGCAAACATCTCGCATCTGATTGGCTAACAGCATGACTACCACTGACTCCATTTGCTTTGCAACATTGATGTTTTATGTCCTTAAAAAACATGAATCCTAACCCTAAACAACACAAGCCTGAAAGAGTTCTGCAATATTGTGGGGTTGTTAATGCTAACAAGTGGCTTCTATTAGCTGAGACGCGCTGTGCTGTGTCCTGGATGCTAAATCATCAAACGCCTTCTCTGTCACGAGTCAAGATGGTCCAGGATGAGACCATGATTGCTAATGTTCAGTGTGATGTAGATCTGAGTAGCTTTCTCTAATCCAAGCATTTCTCGTCTATTTTCTTTCAGCAGCTATGCAAGAAATAGGGACAGAGGACCATTTTCACGATCCGCCTGCATGTGAAACTCAGAGTGACTGATCATATTTGAAAAACAACAAATTTTATATGTTTCTCAGTGAACCTCACCTTTACGATCCAGTCCATAAACCGAACTGGTAACAAGGGACAGCCCTGCCTGATTCCAATCCAAACTGGGAACAAGCTCAGCTTGCTTTAGACATAAATGCTGCTTTAGTTGTGCAGGGACTTGATAACAGGGACACCCTCTACAGAATGCTTCATGAAACAAGGCTGTGCTGTCCAAGCCCACTAAACACACAATAGCCAAACTGTCAATGTTTACTAGTCCACTGGCATACCTAAGAGACATCTGCACCTGGTAAAAATCATAATTATTAAAGACCTTTAAAAACAAAAACTTTCTCCAAAACAAGCCAAACGATCCTCCTAGAATCACACCTAGTCACCAAGCACATGTTGTCACAGCTAAAGGGGTGTCCTTACCCGAGGCTGATTGTAGTGCTCCAGGGACATTGTGATCACGTTGATGCAGATGATGAAAGTGATGATGAGGTCCAAGTAATGGTTTGTGCAGAGTGTGTGGATCATCAGACGCATGTTGCCATAGCTGGAGTAGTAAGGCAGCTTCTGAGCCTCTGTTGGAAAAACACATCATCACTATTATGATCTCAGTTAGAGATGGTTCCAAACTCTCCTGGCTCTGCTTTTTCATAAATCTTTAGGGGTCGAAAATAAAAGAAAGAAAGAAAGAAAACAATCTTTTATATATATATATATATTGATATATTTACATACAGTATGTATTACGGGGGCAGGCTGCACAGTGGCACAGTGGTTAGAGCTGTTGCCTTGCAGCAAGAAGGTCCTGGGTTCGCTTCCCAGCCTGGGATCTTTCTGCATGGAGCTAGCATGTTCTCCCTGTGCATGCGTGGGTTCTCTCCGGGTACTCCGGCTTCCTCCCACAGTCCAAAAACATGACTGCTAGGTTGATTGGTCTGTCTAAATTGTCCTTAGGTGTGTGTGTGTGTGCATGATTGTTTGTCCTGTGTGTCTCTGTGTTGCCCTGCGATGGAGTGCACCCCGCCTGATTGCCTGTTGACTGCTGGAGATAGGCGCTGTAGTTTTTTTTAGCTGTAGTCAAAAGTAGTGTCTGGCAACAGCGCAAACATCTTTTATTTTTTAGAAGAGAGGTTTTTAGCTCTTCTACTTGTTGTTTTAAAGACATTCAAGTCATTTAGAACAGAGGAAAGAGCCACAGCAAACTCCGCCACTGTCTTCATTGTTTATGAGAAACTGAGCGTCGCCGTGTGTGATGTCTGCGACCGTGTAGTTTTGTAGCTGTTGTCAAAAATGGCGTCTGGTGACAGAGCAAGCACCTTTCTTTAGAAGAAAGGCTTTTAGCGCTTCTACTTGTGGTTTTAAAGACGTGTTCAAGTAATTTAAAACAGAGAAAAGAGCCACAGTGAACTCCGCTTCAGTCACCACGTTCGATAAACTCGGCATTATGGTGTGTGACGTACGCTACTCAGCGCTGATTGGCTTGGTTAGAGTTCCCAGACCCTTTCTCTGTGCAGAATGAAACAGAACGAGTCTGGCAGGCCAGGCTAGAGACTTTCAGCACAGGAACCACAGTTACTGTGAAAGACGTACGGAAACTGGACTGTGTCTGCTCCGTACCCGATGTAAATGGGGGGTGAGCTGCTGCAATATTTAGTTTTGTTTTTAGATGTAACACTGATCCTCTGCCTACCCCTTTCATTCTTTGTACCATTACTAATTTTGTATAATTAAAGTATTTAGGCTCATTTTGCTTGTTCTTTGGAACTGACCTGGAGTGGTTACAGTTGGATATTATTGATTGGTTGTTTTAATGTTTTGAAACAAAATGTGGACCATTTGAAAGCCCTGCAATTCTTTTATTAAACCCATTTGATCAGTTTACCTGTTGTTGTTTTCTTTAAATGCAAAATCAGCTTTTAGTCATTTTCATCTAAATTCCCCATCTCCTTTCATTTCTAATTTCTCCCCGCTCGTCTCTCTCTTACTCCTCCTCTTCTTCTCCATACGCCGTTGCCGCTTCTCCTCTCGCCTCTTGGCCTCCTCCACCTCCTGATGCTGACGGCACTTGTGGAAGTTTTCCACGACCACGCCGACAAACATGTTCAGGACAAAGAAGCTGACGATGAGGAGGAAGGAGATGAAATACAGCAGCATCCATGGGTTGTTGTTCGTTATCGGCTGGAGGTGGTTTTGTGTTAATTTAATGTTAAATGATGTGATGAAAAGGAGAAAGAAAAGACATTAGAAATCACAGGAAGTTTAGATTCTTACCAGTGAATGGAAAAAGCTTTTATTTTAATTCAGCAGTTTTTTACCTGTTGGTCGACACCAACTGCATCCAGTCCGTGGTACATGATGTTGACCCAGCCATCTTTGGAGGCGAGTACGAACAGGGACATCAAAGCCTGAGTAAAATATATTGGACACAAAATGTTTTAAAATTAGTTCCAGAAAACAGATGAAAAAAGAAACCCAAGTTTCCAAGGCCAGTATGTACAGTGCACTATGATAAGTTATGATTTCCTCACAGATTCCTCCTGTTTCTTTTCCACACATTTAAATATTTCAGATTAAAGGTCGACCAATGTTGACTGTTTTCTTTAATTGCCGATACCGATATCTAGGAGACATGGGCTGATATGTACTGCCAATTTTTATGGGCAGAATTTCACGACCGATCTTTGCGCACTGCTCAGTGATAAAGTCAGACACCTAAATAAAGTTAATGCTGAGCATTTGTTATGCATTTTATTAGTGAATGTAAAAATACATTTAAATGAAATACTGCAACAGCACTGGGCTGCCTGTGGATGTGCCTGACTTTAAATGGGCTTAACCAATGACAAATGTATAAAAATTGGTAAAAATTATCGGTCTACCCCCATTTCAGATCAATAAATGAAGTTCAGTATCAGACGAATAACATTTCAATAAATTCTCTAATAAATATAATTTTGTTGTTTTGGGTTCTTTTGCTCTTATATACCTTATAATATAATACATTTTTATTTATTCATTTTTGAAAAACAAAAAACAACAGAGGTTAGATAGGGCAATAAGAACAAACAAGATACATAAAAATTTGAAACAATTCTAAAGTCTAGGCCTAAAGGGAATAAACTTGTTTAAATAAGTGGGTTTTGAGGTGTGCCTTGAATTATGGAAAAGAGTCCGTATTTCTAATGGCAGAGGGAAGTGAGTTCCAGAGCCGGGGAGCAGAGCAACTGAAAGCTCTGCTCCCCGTGGTGGTAAGGCGAGCTCGAGGTTGAACCAGATGAAGTGCAGATGAGGATCTAAGAGATCGGGAAGTTGTTGCAATAATTAGTAAGTCACGTAGATAAAGTGGAGCCATGCTATGTATAGATTTAAATGTAAGTAGTAGGATCTTGTATGTGATCCTGGTTTCTATTGGCAACCAGTGTAGGTTTTTCAAGAACAGGAGTGATGTGATTTCTTGAGGGGGGTCCCAGTAATGATGCGTGCTGCAGAGTTCTGGAGAAGTTGGAGTTTATGAAGGGATTTAGTTGGGAGACCAAATAGAAGGGGATTACAGTAGTCGACGTGAGAGGTGATGAGGAAATGAGGAAAGACGTGTTGCTTTTTGAGATCTTTTGGTTGACTTGTTTGAAGTCGGACAGATTCTATATTCAGGTGATATTATCAGACTTGGGTGTGTCCAGTGAAACCAAACTTACCCTTCCAGATAATGTACTTCATTATGGTTAATTAATGAATACCACTGGTCCACATTGGTTGGGATAGTTTTTATTACTTAATAAAAGATCATTTGAAAACGGTATGTTGTATTTACTTTACTTATCTGGGTCTGAAATGGAAATGGATCTGAAATATTGAAGTAATACTACTACTACTACTACTACTACTACTACTACTACTAATAATAATAATAATAATAACTTCACCTGCCCCAAGTTGTCAAAGTTGTATTTGTGATGGACCCACTTGTAGTTTACTTGCAGACAATCAGATTTGTTTGTGATATTTTTGACATCAGGGCCAAGACAGTAAAAGAATTTGCCTTTAAACAGCTGTCAGGAAAAAAAAAACAATATTCGATTAGATCATGTAACTTATGCAAGACACATTCATTAGTTGCTTTGCGCTACTTTAAGATCTAAAACTGAAATGTTGTGATATAAAAAAGCAGAAATTTAATTAAAGACCAAGTTCACTTATTGTTTCAATATGCAGTGGACTCTACCAGAAGACAGCAGCATTTTTACTTCCTGAAATTTGGATATCTGTGTTCTGATTGGCTAACTCTACCACTGACTCATTTTGCTTTGCAACATTGATACTTTATCTCCACAAATAACCCCGGCCTGAAAGAGTCCTGCCGTGTTGTTAGAGTTGCTAATGCTAATAGTTAGCTTGTGCTAGCTGAGACATGCTCTGCTCTTTCCTGGATGCTAAACCAACAACAGCTTTCCCCGTCTTAAGCCGAGATGGGTGAGTCCATGTATGCTAACTTGACATAACAACATTCAAATGTCAAGCTTTTATAATTGGAGTGTTTCTCCGGCTTTTTTCTATCAGAGACTAATGCAGGAAAGAGGGGTAGAAGACTGTTTTCATGTTCTTCCTGCATGTTAAACTCAGAGTGACCGATCATATTTAAAAAATAACAATGTTTTATCAGTGAACTTGATCTTTAACAAAACTTATTTTGTTAAAGCTAGTTGTTCCTCTCACCTGAACTCCCAGAATACCAAATATGATGAAGAATGCACAACAGATGAGGACAATGTTGCCAATAGGTTTCAGGGAAGTGATAAGAGTCTCCACCACCAGCTTCAGCCCCGGCGCTCTGCTAATAACTCTAAGGAACAGAAGAAAAAGACCGTAACAATCTATAAAAATAAACAGAGCCCTGTAGAATCTAATATTTTACTTTCCCCGTCTCCACACATAGTTCGGATTGATGTGTATCATTGGTCTGTTATCACAGCTTTCAAACGGTGCTGATTAGATGAATTATTGTTCGCAGGGGAAAACAAAGCTTTAGGGAGAACATAGTTATTCAGTTAGGGCTAAATTACGTGTTTGCTGTTGCAATTATTAAATAAACTGATAAATAAATGGATGTTAGGGAGTACTCTGTCACAGAGTCGCACCCTGCTTTCATTTCTGAAAAAGTTTAAAATTTCTAAGGATCAAACTGCAGGCGTTGAGGCCATAATTCAAAGGCAAGTTTGAATTAATGACTGAAAAGCCTGAATGAATGATCGTAAATAGGGACTGTTGTTACCGTCTGTGTGGACTCTAACGTGGGTTCACAGCTAATTCGTCTTCAACCGCAGACATATTCAGAGTTTTGATTTACTTACAATATGTTCATAGATGTGTTATTTAGTTAAGCGTCTTCGATAATTAGCTTTAGATTTAAGTGACGATGTGTATTTTCCCTGGTGATGGATGGAAGTACATACCTAAATCATTGCAAGCAAGCAGTAAATTTGTGTTCGAGTACGACCTTACCAACAGATGCCCATTAGGGTCCAAAATCCCCAAGAGTGCTAATTTTGAACGAGCACTGCGTCAGATTGTTCAACCTCCAGCAAATCAGACTCCTTTTCATCACTAGCAACGAGCAAAGTAGTAAATGTGTAAAATGATGATTATGAATGGTAAATGTTTTGTAACCGTTTGTTACAAATCAGTGAACACATTTTGTCCTCATGGACTCCCACTGCATCTAATGTGGCGTCGCCCAGAGACCTAAAACTGCTCCTATGTATTTTAGACCCAATTTTTGTAGTTGTATGTTGCAAAGCCGCTAATTTTTTAACAAAAGTGCATCGTTTTATTCATTTACAACAACATTTTGCGGGATATTTGCAGAGATTAATGGTAAAAATGCCACATTGTCTCTTTAATATAAAAGTTTGCCAAAATGTAATCCAGTTAGGGGATCCAGAGCTTCACTCGTCAAACGTTCGTAGAAATATTCCTATAATCCAACCTATGAATGACATTTAGACCTTGATTTATGAAACAGCGGTGGACACTCGTATGCATGTTCTTCTGCAGTCATCTGATGGTGAAACCCATCTGTGCATACGCAGGTGCTCGAGTCCTTTTATGCTAATTTGAATACAGAAACGCCCTCCATTAACCGTATTTGGTCACACCATGTCCTCAGCTCATGACGGGATTCCCTGGGTTCTTCCCGAAAAAAAAAAATTAACAAAAAAAAAAAAGAAAACGTTTTTGACAGACAGATCAAGCAGAGGACATTCTGGAGGGTTCTCATAGTTGTAAAATAGAAAATGGACTGGAAGTGGATTTGTGCGGTTCGTCTGATGCTCCACAAAGGTCCCAAATCACAGCATAGCTCCAGAAGGGTCTCCTTCGGGAAGCAGATCAGTGTGCTCACGGAGGACATGTTGCCTTTGAGTTCAAGTTCTGCCAAAACCTCCAATAACAATAATAAGTAGAAACGATCTTTGATATAACACCTCTCAAAATAAAAATCACAAAGTGCTTCACAAGGAATAAATAAGCTACAAATGATTAAAATATCATGAAAAAATGGGAAGAGTAAAAATTGTGATTAAAAAATAACACAATGTCAGCCATGCTGTAATGTCCGATTCCCGTTGGTCACACGTGTCTTTTATAGGCTTTAGCACCAGTTATGTTACACAGCTGTTTTTCCTCTCATATAATTGTTTATTGGGTAAAATACTTTGTAGATGAAGAACATGTGTGGATGATAAATACCACACAATGTGTAACATAGTTCCTACACAGAACATACGCACAGATCTGTGTGTGAGTACGGTTGATAAATGAGGGCCCCGAGAGCGGCTGTGTGACGTGTAAAGCGGCGTCCAACGACCAGAGGACGCATCCTTTTTCACGGCGCTCTGTGGGACTACAAGGTGGCGTGAATGATATCGTCGTTGGGGGATTTCTGCCACATTTTTCAGCGTTGGAAAAAAGTATGACGTTAAAGCAGCAACAATACTGTATTTTTTATATTTTTTTACATTTTGCTTCACAGGCAACTCTTCTGGTTTTTACAAATGCAGTTTTTTTTTCTTACGTGTGCTGATGTCATTTCCTACTGAGTTACAACCAATCAGCGTGTTTTAACCACAAGTCCTCTACCAACCTCGAGAACAAACCCTGGTTCAGTTCCTCCTTTGGTCCCTGAAATGGCCTGTAAAGTGGTCTATCAAGGTTTGATAAAATTACCCTAAAGTCATGAAAATGGCCCTGTTGTTTCACTTGAGAAAAAAGTTAAAGAGTTCAAAATGCCTGGCATTTATGTGTACCTGAGGGGACGCAGCGTTCTGAGCAGTCGGAGAACTCGGAGCACACCCAGGATCTTTGCCCCTCCCGCCATGGACACAACAATGTCAATGAGCGACACAAAAACCAGGAATCCATCCAGAACGTTCCAGCTGCTCCGTAGATAAGCCTTCTCACCCATGTAGAAGCCCATAGAAACAACCTGCAGAGGAGAGCATGGTGAGTAAGAACGATACAAAAACACAGACCGCACATGGCAAATTCACATATAACACAATGTTGTGGGTTGTCAAATGCAAAACATAGAGTTGGAAAAATCATGAGGAGAGGCGGTGATAGGTGGACAAAACGGCCGAACGACTCGGTCATAGAGGATCCAAAACTATTTCCTCCATGTGTATGTGTGTGTGTGTGTGTGTGTGTGTGTGTGTGTGTGTGTGTGTGTGTGTGTGTGCACATGTCAACATGAGCAGCACATAGATGCAACACTTTCAACACAGATTTTATGTCACACTCACACATGCTGCAGAAGAGTTGTAGTTTCCTCGTTCACAGATGGACATTTTTCTTGGAAAAGCAGCAGTGGGAGCATTATGCCTGCTTAGGCAGAAATCCGCCACTGACATTTCAAGCTGTTTGCCAAGTGTTCAGTAAAGCTTAAAGGGACCTTTGGGGTGCAGGGGGGTGGGGGTACTGCAAAACGGTGAAGGATCAGTGCCTGGACAAAATGCCAGGCACTGATCCTTCACCGTTTTAAAATTAAACTGAGCATGGAGCATCTTTTTCAAGCTTTGTAAATATGATTTAGCATTAACAGCTTCCTGTAGCATCTGCATGACATTTACTATCAGAAACTACTCCTTACATTTAACAAAGGACACGCTTTGCATGAAAAATGTTTTCAAAGAGCTGACCAAATCTCCAACCCTTGCTGCGTTTGTTTATTCGGCTCCATCTTGTACACAACCCTAAACTCTGAGACAGAATCCTGCAGAGGAATTAGCGCTACTCAAACAAATGCTTCAGCACACATTATGGAGATACACATGATTCAGACACGAGGGGATACGTGTGCTGCTCGGCCAGGGGGCCGACAAGTCCGTGACTGGTTAATAATTGATTTTCAGAGCGCATAATTGATGGCCCACTTACGCCAGAATCTTTCCCAGAGAAAACAGACAGTGAAGGAAGCCGGGAGGGGAAAAAAAGATAAAAGGATGGTGGAAAGGACTGGTGAGAGGAGGGGTGCCGTGAAAAAGCAGACTTAAAAAAACCTTTAAAGGAGATGGAGTGTTGGGAGACTGCTGGACTACATCTATGTAAGGCTAGCTGCTAATTAGTAACATTGCCCATTCTCCAGAAGAACTGAAGGAATGGAGAGATGGGAGGAGGATGAGCTTTGAGGAGCAAAGACCAGCCTGGCAAGGAGCAACCTGGACAACATGGGTGGAGATGTAAAAAACAAAAAACAAAAAAAAAAAAAAACAGGCAAAAGGCCTCTCGGCGTGGGGCCGGCGTCGGCAGTAAAAAAAGAGACAGGTGGTAAAACGTTACCTTGAGAGTCATCTCGCCCACAAATATGGCAGTAAAGATGTAGTTGGAGATGGTGAGAAAGACTCGTTCCTGTACAGAACAGAATGGAAATGGAGAGACGTCTGAGTGTCATAAACGCAAAATGAGCCTATCAGGTCTTTTAAACCTTCTTTACTCCACCTTTTAGATAATAAAACTGAATACAGCCTCTGTGGAAAACCCGTTATGACATGAGAATTCACACAGAGACAAGTATTTTAGGTGGATTTACCAAGCTGCCTTGTAGTATCTTGGGTCTCTCCAGAGCCACTGTGATGCAGTTGGAAAAGATAAAAACCAGCACTATGTAGTCAAAGAGCTTATGGGCGATGATGGACTGACACATCTGTCTGAACCTGAAAGGAGAGAAGAAGCATTCAAACAGACAATAAGATTGTTTATAACCAAAAGAAAATGACTGTAGATGAGTACCCTGCTTAAAGAAATGTTTGGATTGATTAAAGTGAATTTCTACGTTAATTAAAAAACAGTTTTACTGCCTGCTTCACACTCGGCTGCAAAACGCTTCAGCAAAAGTTAGAGATCATGGTACGATGAAGCCAACAGGACCACATCACTTGCAAAAACCAGAGTCCCGATGCTTAGGCCACCAAAACGGATCCCCTCACCACCTTGGCTGCACCTAGAAATCAGGTTCATAAAAGTAACGAACAGAATTGGAGACAAAGGGCAGCCTTGACAGAGTCCAACTCTCACCAGGAATGAGCCTGGCTTACTGCAATGTTGACCAAGCGCCGACACCGGTCATACGGGGACCTAACGGGCCGGGTAACCCATACTCCCAGAGTAACCTAACAGGATCCCCTGAGGGACACGGTCATCTGCCATCTCCAAATCCATAAAACACATGTAGATTGGTTAGGCGAACTCCCACGCACCCTCCAGGACCCCCCTAAGAGTGTAGAGCTGGTCCAGTGTTCAACGACCAGGATGAAAACCACATTGTTGCTCCTGAATCTGAGGTTCAACTATCCGGTAGAGAACCTCCTCTCCAGAACCACTGAATAGATTTGATGAGAGAGGCTCAGGAGTGTGAGCTCCCCTTAGTTGGAACACACCCTTCAGTCCCCCTTATTAAATAGGGAGACCGCCACTCCAGTCCACCAATTCAGCAACACTTCCCTCAACTTTGTAACTAGTTCTCCTGAGGAAAAACACAGGTATACTACAACTTATTTTGGAACACACACAAGCCACAGTCAAGGGGACAACAGCACAGATCTGCACCCCTGAATGACTGAAAGGCTCTGCTTTTTAAAGGCTTAAGCTGTCTGGTTGCTGAGTTGTTTCAGCTGCTGCTGAGCAGCAGCATGCCTCTCTCCAAGGTGCTGAACGGGAGAGCAGGTAACAGAGTGGCAGTTTGCACAGGCACTGTCCAACGTGCTGATCTCAGGAGCAATCGCGGGGGCCATAACACTGCGTCAACTTCTGCGGGTCTGTCGCAGAGCCCTTGCGTCGACACATAATGCCATTGCTTTGTACTGACGCAGATGGAGAAGTATAAATCAGGCATAAATTCCACAGGCAGCACCATTAATAAGCTAGCTGCTGTTAGCTCCTCACCTTCAGAAATATGTGTCTACAACTGCAAAACTCACTAACTGTCAGGTTCGTTGGCAGATCAGAAGCGTGACTGAGAGTTCTGTTGCCCAGACGCGGAGAGACGGAGATAACCGGCGTGGTTATCTCCTGAAGGTGTAGTTTGGAAGGTTTTGAGGGCTGGCAAGCCTGGAGACTCGATACAAAGTCTGGTGAGAACGATGACTGAGCAATGAATGAAACGCCGGCACTTCCTTAAGAAGTGTCGGCGTGATGACGTCAGTCGCCACGTTGGTGGCAGGAATGAATGGAATGCAGTCAGCTGGAGGAGTTCGTGACACTAACATGTTTTTTAAATGGTATTGGCATCAACAACTTGTACATTTTTATTTAGGGAATGCACAGCTTAGCCTAACTTGAGCTAGCAGTTTGTTTGTTTCTACAGCACAAGTTAATTGTTGTTTCTATTTAAATAATTAACATGTTAGACAAAAAATTACTCCTGTTTACGTTAATCTAGTTCAAAACAAATTATATTAACATCCCTCCCAGAAGCCTCCAGTGTGCAATGCTGTACTGAGACTGCAGAATAGTGGGATTTGAGACAAATCCACAAAGAAAAAAGGGAGCGGGAGGGCCGATGGCACAAAGAGATGGGATATCCAGAAGAGATAGTGAATATGCATTAGAGCGAACTGAGCATGTGATGTGTGTGCTGCCAAAAAGCAATTAAATATCTCCAGTTGTGTGTTTATTGGAAGGGTTGAAAAAGAAAAGAATGAAAATGGCCAAAATGAAACAGAGAAAACACATTTAAATGTTTTATATTAAAACACTCAGATGTGTCTAATTTATCCTTTACTTGCAGGTTTGAAGTCATCGCTATAAAGTAATCCATAACTTAATGAATATTGGGTTATTACAGATTTACCCCCTGAGGCCTGTTTGGCTAAAAGAAAATAAACTTGTTGAAAAATGTTATTTTCTGGGAGAAAAAACATAAAGCTAATGGAACACATCTGTGGAAGCTTAGCAGACTGTTTATTCTATTGATGAGGTTAAAAATACGAGGTGGTAATCCATCATTTTAATGGTGTGAAATAAATGTTCAATGTTTCAAATCAGCAAACGAATCTGGATATCAGACCAAAAAAATTACTGGCTAAATACAAAATTTTGTAAGGATAATTACATTTATTAAAGGAAATACAGCATCCAAACCAACCTGGGTCGATGTGAAAAAGTAATTGCTTTCTAAACCGGTAACACCCTTGAGTGTAAACACTGCAATCACACACTTGTGATAACTGGTAATGAGTGTCTTACTCCACCCACACTTCCTGTTTGAAGAATGCACCAAAAGGAGGTGTTGCCTGGCAGACTGAGAGGGCGGCAGGTACACAGACAATGCTCTTCTTGGTCAACAGTGGTTTTAGAATCCCCTCTGATTTTAACCAGGGGCTGCACAGCAAAGGGACAAGGCTGCCCAATTCCAAATAGTACTCAAAATGTGTCAAAATTGTCCTTGCTTTCCCCGAATCATGAGGACAGATCTGATGTATCCTCATTGACAAAGGCTATCCCAGCATTCTTTCGAACATGAGATTATTTATTTTGTGTAATGCTGGCATTAAAGGCAGCACAAAATTAAGGTTTTAAATGTTATATAATAATATCTGTGGGTAAAAAAAGTAAAAAAAACCTACAGTGCTTGTGTTATTGGGGGTTCTTTGTTGAACATTTTTGTTCTTTGAATACATATTTTTGTCAAAAAACACCAGAAAAGTACTTAACTTCTGTTTAGCACCATCATGGTTGATAGGCAACAAGATGCTGAGGTGGAAATAAATCAAAAGGCTAGACTACCCAAATTCCATTTTGCTCTTTTCTGGTTCAGGAGTCAAGAAAACACCTAACCTAGTTTAACCGGGTAGGATGAGTTCTCACGATGGCCCTGAATTTGGACGGAGCTGATAGCTAAGTGAGCTAGGTCTAACTTTTTTCTAACTTTCTTCTGGGTTCTTCCATCCTTGAAATGTCCTAGGAGGGGGCTACTTCATGCCAGGTCGATGCTTTTCATCTAAATGTAATCAGGTGTGGCTAAGAAAGCTGAACTCAGCTTTCCAAGTAATGTGAAACAACAGGTAAGTCATGAATTAACAATGGGGCCAGTTAGTATTTCACACAGATCCTTGGTGGTTCGGGTAGCTGCTTTTGCTTGATCATCATTATTAAAACTAGGGAGTTTTTGCTCTCGATCCGATTCTGAGTCATTTGATTTTGATCAATACCGATACCGAGTCCCGATCCCATAGTTTTCATAAAAGCATTAACATAATAAGAAATAAAACCCAAATTGGGGGGAGTCCAGGGGGTGAAGAAAGCATCAAAATAAGAAGAAAACACATCAAAATTGTCTTAAGTTTCACTTTCACTTTTAAAAAGTACACCGATTTAAATAAAAGTTTATATTGTGAATATACTTAAAAGCAGCAGCATTGCTCTTATGTCAGGTTGTTTACTCCCTCAATATGCAGCTGTGAACAATGTGTGTTCATGTGATAGAGTAGGCAGGCGGAGTCTTCGGCAGGCAGGGTCACTTTTCTCTGCATAACACCTGTAGCTCCAGTGCGTAGCTCCAGTGCTGCAGAACTAGAGACCCAGATGTTTTGCAGTTTGTTGGAAATTTCTCTTTGTTTATCAGTGTAACCTTCTGTCGGCGGGCTCCACGTTTTGGTCTGACTTCACTGTGGTCTGTGACTGTTAGAGGTAAACTGGGGATTAATAGAGACCGTTGATTTGCTTTGTTGATGCCCGAAGTGAAAAGCCTACAGTGAATGTAGCTTGTTTGAAGGCAGCAAATCATGGTGCTGTCCTTTCCAGCATGTTAAACACCCAGTTTGGATACATTACAAGTGTCTGTAGCTCAGCCTTTGCTGTCCGGTTTAAAATACCACCAAGCTGAAGATACTTCAGCTCTCGTGAGGAGACACGGTAGCTCTGCGTTAGCAGGCTTGCTAACGGCGGCAATTGGTGCCTGAGTACTTGCCTGCTGTAAATTGTGTGATGTTACGGTGTTGTTTTCATACAAGAAACAAAGATTGCCGATGTAGAGGGACTTATTGAAATTAAAACTAAGCCATTTTTATTCAATTTGAAGATCTGTATCTAAAGATGAATTTAAAAAGTCATGTTTGTTTTAAAAGGTTCAATCCGATTTATTTCTCTCATTTCGGATTCTTTCAAAAACATGATCGGGCCAGATTTGCGATCACGTGATCGGATCGGAGCTTCCCTAATTAAAGTACTTTCTTACATCAGCAATCAGTTCGACCCAAACTTGACACTACATGATGCGAGAAAATCGACCCTCATTAACGTAGTTGGTGTAGAAGAATCAATAACAATGTCTCACTTGTTCCGAGGGGAGAAGAGGAAGATGGACCAGTCCTCTCTTGTCTCGCACCAGTCGGGTCGGTACACTTCTAACATCTTCTGGATGCGAAAGCACAAACTCTGCAACAAGTAAACATCATAACATATCACGAAACGTCCATCTTGGCAGAGACGCTCACAACTACTACGTCTAATTAACCTCATTTTACTTGTTTGCAACGAGAACAATGGGAGTCTTCAATGGAAGCATGCTTCTTATGTAGAGCACATACAATCCTATACAAGAGAGCGAGGGATTATTGTTTGTGTTCAACGTTAGAGCTAATGGTTTGTTTGTAGCTAAATGTGTTTACAGATGCTCTCATCTGCATCAGTGAATTTGAAAATGTAGTCAGGAGCAAGTTGCTCTTGCTTATGCCTACATACGTAGTCAATGTCATCGTCCAGGTCCTCCTTGTCCTTGCTGCGTGTGTTAACCTGGGGGAAGACGTCAGTAAGCAGGCGGCTCTCTGGGGTTTCCCCTCTAGTTTGCTGCCGTTTTGGAGGTAGCGGGAGGTGTGACAGTGGGGTCTTCCCATTACAGTCCTGGTGAACCCTCTCCAAGTCCTCACTGCTGCTGATTACCAGTCCCCCAGAAAGGCTCTTCTTCCTGCGGTGGAGTGGGTGATGTGGATCAACTGGAACCTGCAGCACGTGAGGTAGCTCCAGGGAAAGAGCTCGGCGATCCCTCCGTGAGGCTATGCATCCATGGAGCTCCGGATGGGGAAGTCGAAGACAGTTTGGAGGAGATAGAAGAGACTCCTCCTCATCTGGCTGGATGTGATGGAAGAGGTGATGGTGAGGTGACGAGGAGGCACGAGGACCACGGACACGAAGGCTTCCTCCAACCACCCCTCCAAAACCCCCGAGCCCGTAGGCGTAGAAAGGCCTGGTGGAAGTGGGAGTGTAGCCAGGACTCGCAGTGGGAGACGAAGAGGAGCAGGGTCGGCCTCCGAGGCTGCTCCAGCTGGAACGGCGGGTCCACAAAGGGTGAGGCTGGGGAGGGAGCGGTCTGCCCCAGTTGTGATAACCTCTACCTGGATACTGAGAGGCAAAAGCTTTGAATGCTCATGAAAATCATTTCATACAATTACAAATAATAACAGTGTTTTTTAAAGAGCAAGTCACCCCCTACCAGATTCTTACTCAGTTCCCACTTCGTGTTTGAAAAATGCAACAAATGCTGTTGCCTAGCAGAACGAGAGGGCAGAGCTGCTAACAAGTACACACACTCACGACATTGTGACATCATAATGTACCAGCTAACATCATAGTGTACCTCTTAGCCAATAGCGGAAGTATGAATAACACTGATGTGTCAAAAGAATGTGAGACAGGTCTAAATCAGGCATGATCAAAGTGCGGCCGGGGGGCCGTTTGTGGCCTTCTGACTGACTTTGTGCGGCCCCAGGTTGATTTCTAGAGTGGTGGAATTTTATCAATCAGGCAGTCTGTTTAAAGTAACACTAGTTTTTAAAACTTTAGGCTATTAGTGGGTTCTAGTGACTGTGTAGGTAGAAACATGGCTTGCAGTTAGCTTTTTCATTTTGCCGACTATCAATTAAAAGCACAAGAAGAAGAAAAAGAAGAATTTAGCTTTTTTTGGCATCATGGCAGAGCCTGGAAGTAAGGGTAATTAGGGTAATGTCTTTGGAGATTAAGCAAAGAGCTAAAACAGAGTGAACATTGGCACAGCCTCCATTAGTTTGAGGAAGCTAAAGGAGGCTATAAAATCATGGACTGATGGTGACCTGGCTTTGTTGCTACTGGACTTGTAAGTAATACAATTTTTTTTGCCAAACAGTGTGGATCTTCTCACTTTGTGGTTTATTTTAGGATTAGTTAGTTGTGTTACCATTAGCTCATTTTTAGCGCTAGCTGCAGCAGCTTGCAGCACAGTTGTTTACGGCAGTTGTAGTTCCGCTTTCAACCAGTAGGAGAACAAATTAGGAAGCTGTTTAGTGTTACTTTAAACTTGATTTTACATTTTAATGTCCAGAGTTTTACTGTCTAACTTAGACATTATTGAGCATACAGTTAAAATATGAATTTTTTTGTGGCCTGTGAGGACTTTTAACTTTCAGATTTTGGCCTCTGTCTTGAAAAAATTGGACCTGTGAAAATGCTTGCAATTCCAATTAAAACAATTGCTTTCTTAGTCACTAAGCTTCGGCCAAATACGTAAACATCTCATTATTTCACTTTTAAATGCACCAAAGCTAATGTACTTAGTAATTATCTTTACAATCCTTTTTACTTACCACAGCTCTCCTGTCCAAATCAGCCCTGCCGAGAGAAATAACGCTATTCTTCCTGGAGCCAAGCGAAAAGGTCAACTTCTCCCCAGGAAACAGACCAGCGGGTAACATGGATGGGTCCAGGTGCCCATTAGGGGTCAGGGTACAAATCTTTGGGTCTGCAGGAGAAGGAAAAAAGGTGGGGAGGCAAAGAAAGAAAAACAATGATTGTGTTTAGAGATGGTGAGTAGAAAGTGGAAAGAAGCTGTCAAAGCAAGAAAGATAGATTATTAAATAAGCCCCTTGCCTCCCTTTGTTTGTGTTTCCTCTGCTGCTGGAGTGAAAATGGAAGTCTCTCCATCACTGTACACAATAAATGTCCTAAAACAATGTTACAGCCACTTCCAAGGGCCAGAGGAAGGTTTCATTTACAATAAATTGCCTTTCTGAAGGCAAAGAGAAACTCATAATAGCAAAACAGGGGGATATCTGCCCGTGGTTTACCCATTCTTGAGCATATACCATAGTTTATGAACATTAACGTTCCAATTGTGCTTTTCTTTTGTGCACAGTGACATTTAAAAGATGCATTTTGAGCTGAGGAGAACAGTGATCAGACCTCATCAGACACCTCCCTGGTGAGTGGCTGAACGCTGCTCCGTGCTGCAGAAGTTGGGCTGATTCTGAGTGTTTAATTCTGCCACCACAGCAGATGAGAAAGTTACACACAACATGAATTACATAAAGTTTGTTGGGCTCATAGTACAGCTTGGTAAAAAGAGCTTAATAAGATTAGCTGTGAAAATGTTTGTTCCTCTGAAGCTTTAGATGGAAAATGACAGATTAAAATGTTCTGATTAAAATAACGCAGAAATGGAGGCAAATAGGAACATGAAAATACTAAATTGCTCGGTCTGGTTGGTTTAGAGATTTATGCAAAATACTGTCTTTTGTAGTGAAATGATATATTTGATATTCTGAAGTATTTAGAGTACGTCGTTGAAAAGTGACAGTCTTTATTCTGCAGCAAAAATCCTGCAAAGCTTTTATACCTGAGAGGTGCAGGGAGTCCTTCTGCTTATCATTCTCGTCAAAATTACAAGAAGACCTGTCATCGTCCGAGTAAGAGCGGTTTGCATCACCCTGTTTGAGTGACAGCAAGAGAAAACGAAATGGGTGAGAGTGAGAGACGGTGGCATCAGGACAAATTAAAAAGAGTCAGAGAAGGAAAAAAGTGAGCAATTACAAGATAACTTAAGCAGGAACTGCCACTCTTTTCCTCCTCTTATTACAGAATTATCTGGAGGACCAGTGCCACCTGGTTTACACACACTCCTCTAAAACACGTCCATGCACAGAGAATAAAAATAAAAGAGCACATTGCAAGGAAAAGGTGGACATCTTCTTGACACATTTTCAGTGCACACCTCAGCTTGGAAACCTTCAACCAGGATGGCAACCAGTAAGTTGAAGAGCACATAGTTTCCAAACGTCATGAGGGCCACAAAGTAGAGAGCAGCGAAGGGAGAGGTGGACGCCATGCCATTGTACAGAACCATGTTCCAGTCCTCCTGAGTGAGAATCTACGACCCGCACAGAGTGGAGAACATTTTGTTTGTTGGTTTAACAGAAAGGCAACATCTTCAGCATATCCCTAAAGTGGGTTTATGTCGTTACCTGAAAGACTGTGACGATTGCCCAAAGCAAGGAGTCAAAGTTCTTTCTGTCGGGAACTGTGTCTCCTGCCTCAGTCTTCAAACTGAACTTACAGCCAAATATGTGCATTCCCAGGATACTGAAAAACCGTAAACATGTTCAGTAATCACAGCTGAAATCACATAAAAACAACCAGCGATTGTTTTCAGACTGTAAGTAATATCCCAAAAAGTTTACATTTTGGATTAATAAAGCATTTTTACTGCAAGTATTAAAGGGATATTTCACCGCTTAGTGAAATTCAATCTGTTGCCAATATTCCCGAAAGTTAGATGAATGGGAAAAAGCACCCTGTAGCCAGCCCAGTCATTCCCTAATCTGGCAGAATTTGGTTAGCTTTAGCTTAGCATAAACAATGCGAGTGAATGGTAACAAGCTAGCATTTCAATAATTCAAATTCAAAAAGACACCTACTTCCATATACACAAATGGGTGACTATCAGGCTAATCCAATCCAATGCAATCCGCCTTTATTTGTCTATCACTTTATACACTGTTGACCAAAGTGCTTCACACAGATGAAAACACACCGACATAATTAAAAACAGTAAAACATGGATATTATATTCAAACATACAAAACCATTGTAAAATAAATAAAACATAACACTGCTTAAAGGCAGGAATGGATACGAATAATCAGTCAGTGTTAAAAGCCAGGGAATAACGGTGACTCTTGAGGAGCGACTTAAAAACGACCAGAGAAGATGCCTGTCTAATATTGCCTGGAAGCTGGTTCCAAAGTCCAGGCGCGGCAGCGGAAAAGGACCTATCTCCTCTTAGCTTTAGTCTCGTTCTTGGAACCACCAACTGTTGCCGGTCAGCCGACACTCAGTGGTCTCCTTTAAAAAGCAGCTGAAGACTCACTTGTTCAAGCTGGCTTTTGTATGACCTTCTTCACCACTCTCTCCTTATTCTGCTCTCCCCACCTACCACCTTCTTCAGGATTCACTGATTTACCTCTTTCCTATGAACTCTCTCTCTCTCTCTTTACATTTTTAATCACAATAGTCTATTTTTCTAATTTGAAACATATTTTTAATCATTTTCAAAATAGTTTTTTATATTTTTAATTTTTGTTTTTGTGAAGCGACTCGTGATTTTTATCTTGAGAGGCACTAGAGAAAATATCTTTTCTTCTTCTTCAACTGGTGATTTGGCTCATACGGCACGAGCTTGTCCGATAGATAGGAAGGAGCCAGTCCATTCAACAATGTGTACGCCAACACCCGTATTTTAAAACAAACTCTAAAAGCAACTGGAATCCAGTGCAGAGAATCCAACACCGGGGTGACATGCTCATGCCTGCGAGAGCCAGTAAGCAAACGAGCCACAGCTTTTTGGACTAACTAAAGTCTATTGAGACAACTCTAACTCACCCCAACATAAAGACTATGTATTATGCTTGGTGCATCTTTGTGATGTCCGTTCTGTGTTTTCATTTTTTGTGATTCTTCATCATACAAAGGTCAAAAAGAGCTTATTTTATCCTTTGCCAGTTTTTTGAAAGAACAATGTAGTGAGTTGCACTAAAAATGGCAGAGCACATGAAAGGCATGAATTTTACATGACTTTTGAGGGAATCACAGTAGCAGGTATCTTTAGGGCCTTGTAGCAGTAGCTTACATCCATGTTTTGTAGCAATATCATCCTACATCTAAATCAGTTCCTGTCATTTCTTCATGTTTCGTTTTATGTCCAATTGCAGTCACAATGATTATTTAGGTCACCAAGTAAAATTAGGATCAATACGGAGTGATTTTTTTTAGTATTTTTTCCAAATGAAATGCTAGCTGTTACCATTCACTTACATTGTTTATGCTAAGCTAACGCTAACAGAATACTGCCAGATTAGGAGAATGACTGGGCTGGTTATAAAATGCTTTTTCCCACCAATCTAACTCTGGAAAATATGACAACAGGATACATTTCACTTAATATCCCATTTAACTAATTCACTGCCATTGACGACTAAAATGATCACTCGCATTTTTTCACTGTGTGGGCATCGGAACGAGCCCCTACACCGGGAGGACAAACATCTCAGATCTAAAGCCGATCTTCATCCATATACATCACACGTCACGTGATCAGGAAGCAGAAAAGCCATGTGTTGGGAGATCGTTTTGGGCCGCTGCTGTAAAAAAAGTGAGGTGCGAACCGGAAAAACACTCAAAAAGCACGGATTCTTCTTGATGTAAGAGCTGAGTCTACTCTTTGTTTTGGTTGTTTTGGCGTCGACATCATCCTAGCACGCAACGTTCTGTGGCTCTTAAAAAAAACAGTAAAAATGGTGAGAAATGCTGGCAGCGAAGGGCTTTACCGATCAGGAAACGGCTGGCAGCGAATGAGTTAATGTTATGCTCACAAATGTCATTTTTTCAGAATGACTTTTTCTGGCACCAAAAGCTTTGTAGAATTTAGTTGAATGATGGCATAAATTTATTAAAAAAAACACAAAAACATAACAGCTTAATATCAAAATTACTATAATGTTCACTTTAAGCCAGTATCTCACGGAGATGCAACCGTCTGAGACAAAATATGAACAACTGTAAAAGTCTGAAAACTGGTTCCAATAATTTCTGATATTGAATTTTAATGCCAATTTCAGCCGATATTAATGGTAGACTGATAACATCGAGCATCTGTAGTTTTAAGCCTTCCTCTTTGTGACTTTGAATGAAAGGCCAGGATGAGGGGTAAACGTGTGAGTCGGGGTAATTCTAGAAAATACGCTCAGAGATCAGAGTATTAATTAGAGCTTAATGCACAACGGTAAACTAACGGTAACCAGTTCCAGTTTAACTAAATGTTTAATGACAAAAACCATTTATCTCCAGATAAAACAACAAAGACACACATAAACTCGTCCTGTTCTCTGTATTTAATTTCATCCTATCTCTGTACCATGTTAATGGATTTTCTCTCTACTGTATGCTACCTGGGAACATGGCGTTACCTGAATATGAAGATAAAGAGCATAAGCAGCATGCAGAAGGTGGCCACGTTGTCCATGGTCTTCATCAGCACCACAAGCTGCCGTCTCAGCGCAGGCATGAACCTCACCAGCTTAATGACCCTCAACAGCCTGAACGTCCTGAGCACTGACAGACCGCCATCTGCCTGGCCGATGATCTCACACACACTGGGTTGTGGGTTATCCAACGGGTAGTTACATGCACACAGAGACATAATGGAGGATGTGGTGAAATTGTTAAACTTGGTGGTGATAACTGGTGGAAATAATATAATTCCTCATTATTCCACATAGATATTAGTCCTACACACAGTCAACATTTAAAATATCTCCAAAATCATTTTAGGACGAACTATTTTATATTATTTTAACTTCTGTTAGCTGGTAAAAGTAACATTATTGGTTCTAGGAAGACTGCTGTTTGGAAAACATTTTAGGTTTTATAGAGAAGAAGAAAGTTATAAAAATAATAAATGTTCTTTGTGACTGACGAAAACAAATGATGGGTATTGGTGTTACGTAACCAACCGGGACAATAGCAAAATAAATAGCAACAGCAGAAATTTAAAGTAATAAAAGTCAAGTCAAAAAATAAAAAAAAACCTGATGATGACAATGATTCCATCAAAGATGTTGTAGGGGTTCCTCAGATATTCAAAGAAGCCAAAAGCGGTGAGCTTAAGTATCATCTCCAGGGTGAACATGCTGGTGAAGACGATGTTACAGATCTCCAGAACATTGGTCAGCTCCTCAGGCTTGGTGGGGAAACAGGAGACAGGAATCAGAAAAGGCAATTATTAGTTTGGTCCTTTAGAGTAACTTTGGTCATTTATTAACAGATGTGATTCCAGAACAAGGTCAAAACTTACAGCTATTGCTGCAGATGTGCGCGTTTACTACATGGAATCAGGTGATTATTTACCAGTGGGGATGAAAAAGTTGATTGAATAATTTAATTATAACATTTCCCAAAGCAAACTAAAAGATTCCATCCTTGGTTTAAATCATACATGCCGCTCGATGTGATGTTTCACAGAAACAACTATTACCTATCCAGGTCATCACAACATGACAGCTTTGTACAGATGACTCAGGAGTTCCTGAATAACGTTTAATTTACACCGAGCGCTGAACGGACAGGGCTGGTTGCTGTACAGCTTCTGGACTGACTGCCATTCACACCGACTGCAGTTCATTTACTGAACATAGTTTGCCCCCGCAGGAGCTCTAAGTAACTAGAAATTAAACACAATACATTTAAAGATATATCATACATTGATTTTATAGGCCGGTAAAAAAAAAAAAAAACACAGGCTTTATTTTGAAATATACAGATTACACCTTGCTGACACACATCTGGCTTCTCGTCTGGTTCATCTAATTTCTTTAACTTTGCGAAAATCTGCTTCTGGTATTCAGAAACGATAGGATCCTTGTGGAAACAGCCTGGAGCTCCAGATATGGAGCCACAGCGCACAGCAGCTGGCGAGAATGCTCTGATTGGTCTCTGTGTTTTTTGGTCTTTGTGAAAGCCGTATGCATTCTGGACCAAACCCGTTCCACCAGGGCCAGATTAACACTTTGTTGTACCCTGGGCAACAATATTCAAGGGCCCCATCATCACGACCCAAGGATCACCATAATGTGGTCACATACAGAATATTTTACTGTAATATGCAGTAAATATACTCAATACTTAAATGCCTGACATCACGTAACCCGCTCAGGGTAACCTTTGACCCACCTCGTGTGGACTGACCAATGAGGAGAGGGTCTTAACTTGAGGCCCTCTCTTCATTGGTCAGTCTGCATGAGACTGACTCTCAACTGACGTTCAGTCGTAGGCAGCGAAGCGTCTCTGTGCAGCGCAAAAGCCCGGGTGGACAGTTTGTTGAATATAGGGTGATCATATTTCCATTTCCAAAAAAGAGGACAGGGGATCTGTGCCTATGACGTCACACTATGGTAAAGCCACACAAACCACGTTGGGACCCATTTTTTTGTAAGAACTAAAATTAATATCAGATTCTGCCAATAAAAGGGCTCTAAAACAATTCATATGTAAATATTTAGCATATTTATTGCAAAATCTAATTTTTCTGCTTTAGTGCTGCAACAAGGTTTTATTAATAATAAATAATTATACCTTTTGTTTTACTACAGCATCGGTAAACTTTCTGTGCACAGATTATTAAGGATGCTTGTTTCAGCTGTGAGATTAGACGATAGGGCCACTGAAAAAATAATTTGTCACAGACTCCATGGAAACTTTCAGATAATCCACAAATAGTGGCTTTCAAATGGTTTTGTTACTTTTTGCAAGTTTATAAAAGAAGCAGATGAGACAGCGTGTCTGATAATTTAGTTTTTCATCTGATAATATTAGAACATGTCAGCGATGTCTGAGGAGCTTTTATAAACACTGTATAACTAACACTCCTGGAGAGGGTATGGATTACACAGATGCTTCTGGGGAGGGGGGTGGGGGGTCATTTTGCCTTGGCCCCCAAAATGTCTTGAAACGGCCCTGGGTGTGTGACTGAGTTTTGAATTGTATCAGATGTATAAATATGACATGTGTATAACTTATTGTTTTATACAGGTAAAAACGTGTAGTGGAGATAAATCTACCTACATTTTACTTTTCAACACTTTGTTTTGTTTTCTTGTTTTTATTTAACTATTTCCTGTCCTGTCTGTCTCTCATCTTCCTGCATCTCCTCTAAACTCTCCAGAAAAACTGCTGCCTGGATTCTTACTTTTTCACCTCACAAGTTACTTTTGAGCAGATCAAAGGGATCTCCTGACCGCAAAGCGGAGAGCGCGTTTCGATGCTGCGTCAGTGAGGTGAAATCACCGCAGCACAGGTGATGAGCTCCGCAGTAGCAGAGCGCTTCAGGCGTAAACAAGACAGAAAATAGAGAACATGTGCGGACATGAACGATTGTGTGCTAATTATAGTTTTTTGGTTGCGCCACTTTGAGAATGGGCCGTGCGCTGGAAGCAGCAGCCTGGAGCGCTGCGCGACAACAATTAGCGCTATATGTGCTCTCTGCTCAGAAGAGTCCATGAATGATGTAATAAAACTTTTTTCCGGCTCCCCTGGATGTGTAGGATATACAGCTCCCCCATAAATCGATCCCTGCTCCTGGATGAAAAGCCGGACATTTTCATCAATACAAGAACCCCCAGTCCGGACAGAGAGTGAAAAGTGGACATGTCCAGGGAAAACAGGACGTACGGTCACCCTAGTTTAATATAAAGCGGGAGATTACAGATACAGTATTTTGCTCGTGCCCTTGCTGCCCTGGGCCCTTTAGAGTTCGTGGGCCCTGGGCAATTGCCCAGTTGCCCATATGGTTAATCCGGCCTTGCGTTCCACATGCTGTAAAAACGAGGGGTTAGCCATGTTTCTTTCTGCTGAAACAATTTTACAATGAGACCAACTGATGCCAGTTCAAGCTTCACTGGTACCAGCCATCAGTTCCTCAATAATCATAATTTGGTCATTGTTTTAAAGATTTACACAGCAAAATGATCCAAACCTCTCTTTGACGAATGTCTGAACTCAAAGAACTCCATGTTAAAACTGACTATGAAAACAACACAATGAGGGTTAAATGTCTTACAAATAGATCTGCTGCAAACGTTGCAGAAACCACAGAGGATAAAAAAATCAATAAAAATAAAACAGACAATTGTGATGCATCCCATCTCTGAGCTGAAAACACTCTGCCACTCAAACTGCCAATTAGTGGATGAGAATCCGTCTCCACCTGGAAAAGCAAATGAAGGATATTTTCACAACAATCAAAGGAGAAGAACAGAAGAGAGAGGGGTGGGGTAGAAAAATGTTTTCTAGCACATGTTATGATATGAAACACATCAGCAGGAATGAAAGGAAATGAGCTCGGAGAGTGCGTTTCATCTGTGTTGCATATGAAACATGAGGAGAACAGAAGAGCTGCTATCTGGCACTTGGCTTCAAACTGCATACATATAGAAGCAGCAGAGTGCATAAAACAGAAACGCACACTCACAAGTCACTTCTGGGTTTAGGTCTATTCGTATGTGCCTCTGCATGATAAGACAGGCTTTATTCAAGTGTGCTTTCTGTATGAATGTTGTGTTTGCACAATATGGATTCGGAAAAGGGTAGAATGCCTTCTCCGGGTCAGGGATGAGGTCCTGCTCCAAGAGGAGGAGTTTGAGTATCTCGGGGTCTTGTTCACGAGTGAGGGAAAACTGGAACGGGAGATCGACAGGCGGATCGGTGCTGCATCTGCAGTGATGCAGGCTTTGTACCGGTCTGTCGTGGTGAAGAGAGAGCTGACTCAGAAGGCGAAGCTCTTTATTTACCGGTCGATCTACATTCCTAACCTCACCTATGGTCATGAGCTTTGGGTAGTGACCGAAAGAACGAGATCGCGGATACAAGCAGACAAAATGAGTTTCCTCCGAAGAGTGGCTGGGCTCTCCCTTAGAGATAGGGTGAGAAGTTCGGTCATTCGGGAGGGGCTCGGAGTAGACCCGCTGCTCCTCCACATCGAGAGGAGCCAGTTGAGGTAGCTCGGGCATCTGGTCAGGATGCCTCTTGAACACCTCCCTGGTGAGGTTTTCTGGGCACGTCCAACCGGGAGGAGACCTAAAAGGAAGACCCAGGACACGGTGGAGGGACTATGTCTCTCACTTGGCCAGGGAACGCCTTGGGACTCCCCCGGAGGAGCTGGCCCAAGTGGCTGGGGAGAGGGAAGTCTGGGCCTCTCGCCGTAGGCTACTGCCCCCGCGACCCGACTCTGGATAAGCAGATGAATATGGATGGATGGATGGATGGATGGACAGACGGATGGATGGATGGATGGATCAGATGCTTTCACTGATACCCCACTTTTTCTCCTGTTGGTTTCCATTTCAAAGCCAAGAGAAAAATAGCCAGCATGCGCTGCCAAAGTTAGTGAACCATGTCAGAGAAAACAACATTTCCAGCCCCCTCCCCTCCTCTAATCCGCTTCTGCTTCCAATCTATCTCCATTTCCCTCAGTTCTCCAACCCGCCTTTTCTTTCCTCTCCGTCTTTTTCCGAGTCTCATTATCAGGCTGACCCATCTCATCCCAGTCAATACCGTCATGTCAATCAGAGGAACAACAGGAGAAGAAGAGATGAGAAGACAGTGGGCAATGTTAGAAGGGGGGCGTGGGAGGGTTGGGGGGGGGGGGGGGGGGGGGGGGGGGGCTGGAGACAAAAGTTACCTGTTAATCTAAGAACTGGTTTTAATCCTACAATAAGAAGCAGGAAATTAAAAACAGATCTAGAACACGTCCTAAAGCTCTGACAAAGGACGAGTGATGTTTTGTTATTGACAAACCTGTCACAACTCTGGCTATCTGAGTGTAACTCTGACAAAACGCCATCATCACTCCCTCATCTAGCATTATTCGTTCTGTCTTCTCGACCATTACCCGTCGTTCCATGGTTATTCCCCCACCGTCCTCTCCCGTAAACTTTCTAATCTCCCCAAAGTTTTTATGTCCAACAGAGGTTTGGTCCTCTCGTTCTTCCACGCAAACACTCAGTCAGCATCATGTTGCTTTGATATGAATGAACAACCTGGTGAGATGCAGTCTAGGAGAAACTTCATAAATCATCGCACTATTGAGAAGAAGTCGATGTCAAAGACTCGTGAGTTCATTTCTTTAATGAGCCGCTGTAGACTACATCCAGCAGAGGTTATGAATTCTGCTAAAGGGATAGCTCA